TGCAAGGCAGTATCTCTGGCGCAGCCAAGGTCCAAGTTACCTCAAACAAGTCCATTATCGGAAAGACTGGCAGCTGTAGGTAAATTATGTTCTTGCATAGGTGTTGTGCTGACAGTTCTGTATAGCCCTTACCGGCATTGGTTTGACCATCAACGGACAGAAGAACGTCATTGTTCGCAATATGAAGATCTCCAAGGTTGAAGCTGACTACGGTGACGCGATCACCATCCAGAAGTCTACCAATGTCTGGGTTGACCATTGTGATCTCTCTGCCGTTAGAGGCGATGACAAGGACTTCTATGACGGCCTAGTCGATCTGTCGCACGCCGCTGACTGGGTCACCATCTCGTATACCTACTTCCATGACCACGTGAGTAATCTCCCATTCTTATGACAAACCTGGCTAACTGTTCATCAGTCCAAGGGATCACTCGTAGGACACTCCGATAAAAACGCAGCTGAGGACGTTGGTACGCTGCGTGTTACATACGCCAACAACCACTTCAACAACGTCAGAAGTCGAGGCCCTCTCCTGCGTTTCGGTACTGCCCATATCTTCAAGTACGTCTCCAAATAATCTCAACTTTGACTTGTCACTAAATATCCTATAGTCAGTACTATGATACCATGGACACTGGACTCAACAGCCGCATGGGCGCCCAGGCTCTTATTCAGTCATCTGTGTTCACCAACGTCGGAAAAAAGGCCATCTTCAGCGAGTCAAGCTCCGAGGTCGGATATGTTGTTGCAGAAGACGTCATTCTCGGTGGTGAGAGTCAAAACACTGCTCCAAAGGGTACACTCAGTTCAAGCAAGATTCCGTATCAGTTTACACTTCTGGGATCTGGAAAAGTTGCTTCAACGGTTCCGGGACAGGCAGGCCAGAAGCTCAGCTTCTAGAAAAGGATCTTTGGAGGCCACTGTAGGTCTGCTTTTATCTTACTTGTGCAACAATCACCATGTCTATTCAAGTGCTGTCTTCAATATCAATACATTATGTCCCATTTACTTCTGACAAGATGTGAAGTCCTTGAGCCCTGCGTCGGGAACCTTGTTCTTGGGGAGACAGAACTCGATGTCCTCGCCCTTGAGATCATTACCAAACACCCTAACATGCTCACGCTGCAACCACCTTATTAGCACAGAGATTAATAACAGATCTCAGAGAGCTTACCTCTGTAATCTTCAGGAACTCGTTGTAGATACCATCAGACTTCATTCGCTGGCGAACAAGATCCACGACGCCATTCATGAGAGAAAGGACCGTGGTAACCTTACTATCCCAGGTCACGAGTGCTGAAACACCCTTGCCATCGACGCGGGTGGACTCTGTGCTACCGTAAGGATCTGTTGCACTGTTGTCAGCGATCATGTCCAATGTGATATCTATAAGTCTTACTCTGCATCTTCTTTCCAACAATCATGTTCCTCCACCAAGCCAGTCCAACAGCCTTGTCGAACAATACAACAGGGAAGACGCCATAGGGAGTGATGACATCGAGCTCTTGGTCCTTTTGGCTGGCAATGGAGGGAATACCGGCGGGCGAGATGTAGCCAATGATCTGATCTGTCTTGGGATCGGTAGAGTTGTTGACGGAGGCGTAGAGGCCTGGGGACTCGGTGACCACCGAGTTACAAGTACGAGCACGTTCGCCGTTTTTGAAGAGGCGGCTAGATGGTCAGATTGCTGTTTTCAACACAACTCATGACACTTACCTGACAATATCAACATCATGGTATGGCAGCTCAAGCTGGTTCCAAATTTCATGGCTAGAGAACCAGAAACCTTTTCTAACAGTGATAGGACCAACGCCACCCTTGTTGTACTCAGCCTTCTCCAACTTGGCTCTCTTATACTCCCAGAGAGTCTGCTTATCCTTCTTGGACAGATTAGTGAAGAATTGGAAGAAGTAGGTCAAAAGCTCTCCCTCATAAGGGTCATCGAGATAAGTCTCTGACTCGCACTTGTAAGATTGCTTCTTGTCATTGACTGGAAGTGTCTGGTCACCGATTGCTGTGACAGCACACACCTTTCCTTTGCCAATGTAGAAGATCTTGGGGGCAGTTGAAGCGACATAGTTGAACCAGGTCTGCCAGCCGTCGGCGATCTTGTGGAATTTGGGGTTGGACTGCTTCTGCAAAGCTTCAATGCAGGCGTATACGGCCCAGATAAGCTCTCTGGCCATATTTCGTTAGCATAGACGAGGAAGTGGAAGTCGGATTGCTTACCCATTGTCTAGACCAGGAACACGGTCGTCCCAACCATCTTGAGGCGAGATGGTGGTAGTGTCAGTCTTGATCCAAGGAAGAAAGCCGCCAAAACCAGGATATGTCTGGTTGAACTGGCTGTAAGTCTTGAGCTTTGTCTCCATGATTGACGCAGCAAAACCTGGCGCAGCCTTGAGATTATCCGGGGTCAAGAAACGGGCAGCTTCCTTGGATCCAGAAATAGCCTGGGCGTAGAGCATAATTTGCAGTGCCTACACAGTACCGTTAGGAAAGCTTTTCGGTATCCAGGACCGTAGCATGACTGACCTCCTTGCTGGCTGCACTGAACGTATGCTTATTAGTGCGTTTGCCAGTCTTCCAATCAAGCTGGGTTCCATCATAGGACATGCCATTTTGAGTATTGTAGGCTACATCGTTTTGATGGAATTTACCTTCCCAGTAGAGAAGATCCCAAATGAAGTCGTCAGTGTGTTGAAGGACGTCCTTCTGCGACCATTCAGGGCCGAAGCGACAAGATGGGGCTTTGGGGTTGGAGTACTGAGGTGAGGCCGCTGCCAATGGTAAAGACAAGGCTAAAGCAGCCAGAACAGAGCTTAGCGAGGACTTCATGATGAATGGCTGAGTCGTCTCCGAGCTCAATTGTGTCTCTATACTGATCGAAGAGGCAAAGAGGATGACGGGGCTGTCTTTATATAATGGGAAATGATGACTTGCACGACATTTCCAGGATCTTGGATGAGCCAATGCCGACCTGGGTACGTATTGAGCCCAGAAACAAGGTTTCTTTCCCCAGACTTAACCCCGCTTGTCGGCTCACGACCATCAAAAGGGGAATAGATCTTCACGGGGAAATGGAGAATCACCTCACGACAGAATCTATTTTACCGCTGGATTTCCCCGTCTCAATCCTTCCCACTCTTTGCCTCTTCAATCTCACACAATGACAAGCCCCACGCCAGATTCCCCTCAATCCCCCGGTACAAACACACCAGCCCAAAAGAACCGAGCTTGTGACCGCTGTCGTCGGCGAAAAGCAAAGGTACCTACTAGCCTCCTCTCTCCCATCGGCGAAACTCACCCACTGACGGAGTCTCTAGTGCGACTTTACAGAAGGCGAGCGTTGCACCAGCTGCAGGGAGTCAGGCACACAATGCACCTTCAATCTCCCCCTCGCCCGTCGCGGCCCCAAAATCCGCGCCAGAAAATCAGCCAGTTCCACAGCGGAATTACCGCCTCCCCAATCTTCCCAATGGGAAACCAACGCTGTCGATCTCGGACTCTCGCCGCCTTTGCTGGTTAACGGTGATGTAACGAGTCACCAGCGCTGGCAGAATTTATCGCGAGCGCTAGCGTTCATTACGAATGATCTGCATCAATTTGTTACGCGGTGTTTTGATCTCTTTTTTGAGTATCTCTACCCGCTTACGCCGCTGGTTCATGAGCCGAGTTTGAGGGACTCGCTTTCGTACTTTGGGCAGTACCCTTCTGAGAATTTTAGTACGGGGGTTTTGGAGCTGTGGCCGGAGACGACGTTTACTTTGATCACTGCTGTTTGCGCTGAGGCAGCGTTTTTATTACCCAAGGATTTATTCCCTGAGGGTCAATCAGTGGCCGATATCTTTCTCAATGCTTCGAGATCATGTTTGAACCAATATCTTGAGGCAGAGCTGGAGAATCCGAATGCGAACTCAATCACAATTCGGTACTTTCACTCGAATTGTCTTCATGCGGCGGGAAAGCCCAAATACTCATGGCACATCTTTGGAGAAGCAACGCGACTTGCGCAGGTTATGCAATTGAACCTCGAGACCTCGCTTGAGGGCTTACAACCAATTGAGGCCGAACTACGACGTCGAGCTTTCTGGATCGTTTACATGGGCGATAAATCAGCGGCCATACTGAACAATCGACCCATCACGATCCACAAATTCTCATTCGAGTCGGGAATAACCACGTCGTATCCTTCTGGCATTGAAGATGAAGCGCCCGTTCTATCGCCTGGAAATCTCGTGACAAATTCTGATGTTGTGCGAATAACCTGCATCGAAGGCTTCAATGCCAATTTGCGTCTTTGGCAGAATGCATCTGATCTGCTCCTCGAGCTGCGACTAATGCAGGACCGAAACCAACAAGATCTCAGCATGTCAAATCTTCAACCATTGATCGGCGCCCAGGAAAAGGATCGACTGGATGCTCTTTATGTTAGGTTCATCACCTGTCTTGATGATCTACCACCATATTTGCAGTCGTATACGTTTGCAGCGTTAGCGGATGAGTCTAGGGAAACCACCAAGCAATTCCTGATCCAGTGCGCGAATCTGCAAGTCTCCATCCATTGCTTAAGAATGGTTATAACGCAAAAGTTGGAGAATCTTCCGTACTATAAATCGGAGATTGGGCACTCGGATTTGCGCAAGACGGAGATCGCGAGAGATATGCTGAGGGTGATCCAAGAAGCTCCGTTTTGGTCACTCCAAGTCAACGGCGAGCCTTATGTAAGTGCATCAATTCCCACCGTTACTGATAAAGCTAATGAGATGTTTCTGCCAAGGTCGAGAAGATACGGCTCACCGGTGCGAGTCTTCTGGAGATAATTCACCGAAATGGGTCTTCACCTATCGCTGCTAGAGCGCGTAGCGACTTTGCTGTTCTCCTTGACCTGCTCACGAGACTGGACTCCAAGGCCTCCGATGCGTTGCGGAATACTTCTTCATTGATACACTAGATCTTTGTAATAATACTGTCACACATTTACCCTCCTTAGGTGACTCTTAGACTCCCTTCTCGTGGATGAAATCGTGCTCCTCCTTCTTGACCTCAATCTCCTTGACCATCTCCTGCTTCGCATCCTTACCCTCAAACAGATACGTGAGTTCCTCAAGCGTAGGTCCCGATGTCTCAACAAAGAAGAAGTAGACGACCAAGAAGATGATGGCGACCCAGACACAGTAGTAGATGTAAAACTTCCATCCAATAGCCTCCAGACCAATTGGGTTGACGTAACCACCAAAGATAGAAGAGACCTGAATGGTGAGCAGCACGAATGCCCAGGTCTTGGCTCGCATCTGGTAGGTGACAATCTCAAGAGGATAAGTGACAACCAAATTTGTCCACCCGAAAGTGTAAAAGCCTTGGAAGAGGAAGATGCAAGCCAGTACGACTCGGCCACCGGCCAGTGATCCCTCTAGGTACTGCTTGGCCGCAATGGTCCACATGATGAACGTGACAAGAACACCACCAGATCCAACGAGGAAGAACGTACGGCGCTTGAACTTGTCAACCAGAAGAGTCATGGTGATAGCAACGATGTACTGCCAGAGAGTAACCATGCCGTTGACAAGAGTGATATCCTTCTCGGCCTCGATACCTGTATCCTTGAGGATCTGGGTCAAATAGTTTGAGACAAGCAGGTTGCCAGAACTCTGACTGAAGAGCGCAGTGGCAAAGCAGAGTGAAATGCGCTTGAGGTTGGGAATGGATGAGAAGAATTCCTTCCAGGTCATGTTTTGCTCGGCTTCCTCCGCGATGACTTGCTGGATCTCGGCGCATTCGAACTTGACCAATTCACTGTCGGAATCGCCTTCACCGTGATACTTGATCAGAATTTCCCGGGCCTTGTCGACTTTGCCCTTTGCGATCAACCAACGAGGTGACTCGGGGCAGAAGAAGATGAGGATGAGCTGGTATGCCGATGGAACGACCTGGACAAGAGTAGGGAGCTTCCAGGACCATTGGTTAGGAATTCGGAAGCATCCATATGTCGCCCATGCACCAATGACATAGCCCAGCACAATGTTTGTGTTGTACAGCGTGGTGATCTGCACACGCTCCTTGGGGTGCGAGAGTTCGGTGACCAAGACGGGAGCACCCATCTGGATAAGCGAGGAGCCAATTCCGAGAACAATCTTGCCGCCGATGAACATATTGAGCGAGGTCGCGAACAGTTGGACCATGACACCAGCAATAATGACGACGGATCCCATGGCAGTTGGGACACGACGGCCAGCGACATCACTGATCCAACCGAGGAAGATGAATGGTATGACACCTCCAATGGCGTTGGAAGCACCGAAGAAGCCAAGTTTCGAGCCGGTAGGATGGCCAAAGCGGTCTTGCCAGCTCTCAAGGGTCTGAAGGGCGTTGGTCATAGACCTACACGATGAGTCAGTATGGGTAACGAGTTGCGGGTTAGTGATGGACTTACCCATCAATGCCAAGAGCCATACTGGCGAACAGAGAGGAAGTAAGCAAGAAGTACAGCAAAATGCCATTCTTGCGTTTCCAAAACGGTGGAACGGTGGTGAGGTCAATTGGAGACTGAATATCTTCAGTGGCGTGCGCCGCTTTCGGAGCCATGTTGCCGTTATTACAGCTGCCGTGAAACGAGGTGTAGAAGGGTCGTCAAGAGTGACTGATGATGTGTTTGCAGTCTTGTGATAGACTCGGCAATCTTCAGCATACTTATATATACACAATGCGACACCGAAGAAGAGAAAGACTCGGTTTAGAAACATGCCATGAACCAAGGTTACAGCGAAAAACTCCCATTTCGCCCTAGTCTCCAACTTCCCCGTGGGGAATGGTCTGCTCAATGAAGCTACGGGGAAACGGAGAAATAGACCCTCGCGCTATTCAAAGAAACCCCTCACCGTCGGGGAAACTACTCAATGGATCAACTGAATTTCACCGCGATCGACAATCACCACGAGTTGGGTATTGTCTTATCGGCCCGTAATTCCACGGTATAAAGAATGCCGAAGTATGTAGCTTCTTTTGGTGACTAGAGACCTTTGTGTCGAGTTCACATACGACAATGCCTTCTCTACCAAACGACTTCAAACTTGGCTTCGCAACGGCGTCTTACCAGATTGAAGGTGCTGTCACAGAAGATGGTCGCGGTCCTTCAATCTGGGATGTCTTCTGCCATCTTGAACCAACACGAACAAAAGGTGCAAGCGGCGATGTTGCCTGTGATCATTATCACCGCCTTGAAGAAGACCTCGACCTTTTGAAGAGATATGGATCTGACATGTATCGCTTCTCGATTTCATGGTCTCGTGTTATTCCTCTTGGTGGACGAGATGATCCTGTGAACGAAGCTGGTATCGCTTTCTATGATAGGATTATCGATGGGTGTCTGAAGAGAGGTATCACGCCGTGGGTTACACTGTATCATTGGGACTTGCCGCAGGCATTGCATGAGAGGTATGGTGGATGGTTGGATGTTGAAGAATCACAAAAGGATTTTGAGAGATATGCGAGGCTTTGTTATGAGAGGTTTGGCGATCGAGTGAAGCACTGGATTACACTCAATGAACCTTGGATCGTCTCGATATTCGTAAGTGATTAATCCGGAAAGACATGAGTCAATTGCTAACAATATGTTCTAGGGCTACGCAACTGGCGGAAATGCTCCAGGACGAAGCAGCATCAATCCTCAGTCTACAGAAGGCGATACTTCAACAGAGCCATGGATTGTTGGCAAGGCTCTCATCATGAGCCACGCTCGTGCCGTCGTAGCCTATAACCAAGACTTCCGTGGATCACAGAATGGCCAAATAGGAATCTCATTGAATGGAGATTACTACGAGCCATGGGATAGCAGTGACCCCCGAGACAGTGAAGCTGCTGAGCGACGGATGCAGTTCCATATCGGTTGGTTTGCCAACCCCATATTGTGAGCCCTGTCCGATTTTCTCCACTGTCTATCATTGACATACTAACATGGCGAAGCTTAGGACAAGACTACCCAAATTGCATGCGCGATCAGCTCAAGGACCGCCTCCCACAGTTCACATCCGAGGAACTCCAACTTCTTCGCTCCGCAGAAAGCGACTTTTACGGCATGAACTACTACACCTCCCAATTCGCACGGCACAAGTCCTCCCCAGCACCAGACACAGATTACATCGGCAACCTCGATGAGCTCCAAACCAACAAGGCAGGCGAGCCCGTCGGTTTAGAAAGTGGTCTACACTGGCTCCGATCCTGCCCGGACCTCTTCCGCAAACATCTCACTCGCGTGTATCGTCTCTACGGCAAGCCTATCATCATCACGGAGAACGGGTGTCCCTGTCCAGGCGAGGACAAGATGACGCGTGAGGAATCTGTGCAGGATGAGTATAGGATTAAGTACTTTGAGGATCACCTTGATGCGATTGGCAGGTCGGTCGGTGAAGACGGATCTGTCATCGAGGGATATTTTGCGTGGTCGTTGATGGATAATCTTGAGTGGTCTGATGGATATGGACCCAGGTTTGGAGTGACGTTTACGGACTACGAGACGTTGGAGAGGACGCCAAAGAAGTCGGCTTTGGTGTTGAGGCAGCTCGTTGATCATCGGAAGGGAACTCAGTTGAAATTATAGATAAGGCCTATAGACGTGACATGTCAATAGGAGGAAAGAAAATTCGGGACCTTGATTCTAAGCAATAGAAAGACTTAGTTTACTTAGTTTACTCGGCATAAATTTAGGATATTTCTACTAAGCTTAGGATAAATTTGCCGGGTTTATATTAATACCTTACATCAAAGTCTGATATTTTCATGCTCCCCAAAGTTTCTTGGAAGACCGCGATTAGATAGAGCACACATATCATATCAAGATACTCAAAACGCTTTCAATACAGAGCAGGGCCAATTTTATATCCATCTTCCGTTATCGATATGTCTCGGTGAGTAAAATGATCCGGGAGACCCATAGCCGCATCTCGGCGTTGGGTTTCATCCGCCAGACCCATTCCCGGTAGTGTTCAAAGTCCGGTATATCCGCTATCTACAGCTCGCACGGAAATCGTCAACTGAAACGAGTTTAGCATCGCCGAGGTTATACGTCAATGCGGGACGCTAGCAGCCAATTTGGATATTTGAAAGCCGGCAGTTGACGTTTTTACGGCGCGGAGCTACGTGCCAAGTTTCAAATAATTTTCTCGTCTTCTCTTCCACATATATTTACAGACTCGCAATAAGCCCATTAAAGCTCTTATTCCAATACTAAACTTTCTTTCAATTTACTCCACAAAGATGGCTCGCATTCTCATTACTGGTTCAGCTGATGGTTTGGGCCTCGAAGCTGCTCGTCAACTTGTCAAGCGCAATCACACCGTTTATCTTCATGCGCGCAACGCTCAACGCGCAGCAGAAGCCAAAGCGAATTGCCCTGGGGCTGCTGGTGCCTTTGTAGCAGACTTGACACTCGTGTCAGAGACGAAAAAGCTCGCCGAGGAGGTCAATGCTGTCGGAACTTTCGATGCCATTATTCATAATGCTGGCTTGATGGCTGGACCATTCCGCAAAACTCCCGACACCGGCATCCCAGCTCAGACGGCCGTCAATGTTCTTGCGCCTTATGTTCTCACCTGTCTCTTAACACCTCCCAAGAGACTCATTTACATCGCATCTCAACTACACGCCCAGGCCGACACAAGCGTCAAGGATATTTTCTGGCTTGAGCGAGGCGAGTCTCAGTTCCAAGACTTCCCTGCCTACTGCGATTCAAAGCTTCACGTTATGTTACTCGCAAACGCGGTCGCCAGACGCTTCAAGAATACATCAGTCACGTCTGTTCATCCAGGATGGGTTGCGACGAAGCTTGGTGGTGAAGATGGGCCAGACAGGCTGGAGGACGGAGTCGATACATATATTATGCTGGCTGAGGGAGACTATGATCAGAGCTTGACGGGTAAATATTTTGAGCCCAAGAGGAAGCTGGCGGAGCCAATCCCTCATTGTAGTCAGGTTGAGCTGCAGAGGCGGGTTGTTGATGCTTGTGAGAGCTTGGTGGGATTGAAGCTCCCTGAGCTCTGAGTCTGATTAATAGTTTTGTCAATACTTTTACACTCTCATATTGTGCAAAGCATCTAAGTGATATCATTTGAAAATGGAGGGACTCGGCAGAAACGTATCCCTTGATGAATTTTTGTCAAAATAAAAAAAAAGGTAGCGTAGCAGTGAGGCGGGAAAACCCTCAAAGGAAGGAGCACTACAAGCAATGGCAAAAAACCGGGTCAGACTAAGATAATATCAGATAACATACTAGAAAAAGAGTCACATTGCAGAATTATTGGCACCGAGAAGTCTCGCAGTATAAACATTAAAAATATTACATTGACTACCCTGCAGGCTACAGTCGAGATAAGTGAGAGACAAGATAAGACGGATCTTATCTTATCACGCCAAAGAAATGAATCTACGTGGCGGAAAATAAAAGGGCCGAGAGCCGACAGTTGGCACAACAAATCACAGAGTCCAGCTGAATCCTTGGTCTCGCGTTAGTCTCGGCATTTTCTCGTGCTTCTGCGCGAGCCAATCAACGTTTTGTGTGATCGAGTTATCGGTCGAAGCTCGCCCTACAGACCCGAAAATGCAGCGTAGAAGGATGCAAATCTGACTATATATATCATAGATTGTTCTGCTCATGGTTGGAAATATTCATCATCAGCAATCTCAAAAACATACATCCATTTCAATATTTATTACAAACTGCATTAAGCAACACCCAACTTCTTTCGACTTACACTTACTACCTAACCCACCAATCACATTCATAATGACTGTCACATTTATTGAAACAGATGGTGGTAAGCTCGCCGTTGATATTGCTGGTGACGGCCCTCTTGTTATCTGTTCCCCCGCAATGGGAGACTTTCGCGACGCATACGACGCTCTGGCTACCGAGCTTCGTAAATCTGGTTATAGAGTCGCTATGGTTGATCTTCGAGGTCATGGCGACAGTAGCACTACCTTTAACCGCTATGGCGACGAAGCTACCGCCGATGATCTCATAACCCTGATTGACGCTTACGGCGGAGGGCCCGCTGTCTTAGCCGGGGCTTCTCTGTCTGGTGCTGCTGCTACAATCGCTGCTGGAAGCCATCCCGAAAAGGTCGCTGGCCTTATTCTCCTCGGAGCCTTCCTTCGACCTGGAACTGGCAAGCTTGTCGCCAGTCTCTTCCGTCTCTCAATGCGTCAACCTGTCGGCCCTATGATCTGGAAGTCATACGCTCCCAAGCTCTGGCCCGGTCTTGGCGATAAGGTCCAAGAACGAGTTGACAGATCCATCGCAATGCTGACAGGCCCTGGTCGCTGGAAGGCATTCCACGCTACACTATCTACCGACCACGCTGTTGTCGCGCCGTACATCAGCAAAGTCAAGGCTCCGGTACTGGCTGTATATGGAGATGCCGATCCCGACTGGACTGACCCTATCGAGGAAGCTCGCTGGGTCGCGTCGAACTTTAAGGATAGCGAGGTTGTTGCTGTCAAGGGTGTTGGACATGCGCCTATGATGGAGAGGCCTGAGGAGGTTACACCAGCTGTTCTCAAGTTTTTGAACAGGATCCGGGAGAGCGGTGGTTTCAGCCGCTCTTGAATATGTTCAACCTACGTGACGGACTTTTTTGGCGAACGGCGGAAGCAGGGAAAGTGATTGATACCATGGTGGGGCTATACAGAGGCGACCAGCTTACAGTTTATGCTTGGTAGGATATAATGCTATAGAGATCAGACAGTATTTCGACTATTTACTACACATTTCTTCAATTGATAGCATCATGTGCTGCAATATTAATCTGTATTTGAGTCTGCTAGAGCCTGCGAAGTAATGCATCAAGGGTTGAGGATACTTGAATGAGTTCTTCGTCTTCGAAAGGACGACCAACCACTTGTATACTTATCGCTTGATTCTCGAAGAGCCTGGGGTCGTCTACAAATAGTGGAAAATTAGTATCCGTGTATGTAATAACATTATGTCTTACTTACAAGTCTCGTGGTTGGGTTTATCGTATGGATTCGTGTCAAGCGGTACGTATTCCAAATCAAGGGGATCCTGCTCAGAGCTGACCTTGAGTTCTGGTATCGGCAATATCGCAGCAGGATAGTCAATCAGATTGAAGAGCGAAGTGTATCCCCAGTATGTATTGAAGTCATGAGGATAGCCAACGCCAGGTGCCGGAGGACATAACAAGGCATCGATGGGTCGGCCGTCGTTGGCTGTTTCATCCCATGCTGCCAGGAACTGCTCTTTGTAGTCTCGTACCTTGCCACTCAACTGCTAATAGTCAGAATAGAAGTTACATCCTTTTGTGTCTCGACTTACCTGTAGAATCTCTGAAGCGGGAAGCTCCCGAACATTGAAGACCTTGAGTAAGTCAGCAAAAGCTGGGATAATCGGTTCACCAGACTCTTCAAGTGCAGCGATGGTCCCATCGGCTCCGCCTTGGTAGTAAATGTCGAACTTCGGTCTTATTAGTCATTTTATCGGGTCAGGTCGCAGGTACTTACGGTAGTCTTCAAAGATTGCCAGCAGTCGAAGGGCGGCTTGAAGTCAACGACTTGAGGCAGAAGTTAGCTTTGGAATCCACAGTTCACAACTAATCTGAAATTACCCTCGTGTCCAGCTTCTATCAGCAACTTTTTGACATGTTCTAGTGCCCGAAGAATTGGTGGATGAGGCATGACCACGCCATCCCAATTCATCAGCCCAATCTTCAGCTTGCCCTCCGGAGCATCGGCCCTCCTCCATGGGACAGGCGCGCACGTCACATCAAACTTATTGTAAGGATGAGCATTGATGACTCGGGTTAGTAATTCCATATCCTCAATTGAGTGACAAATAGGCCCAAAGGAAACTTGAACCAGACTCTGTCCAAGGTCCGGCATCCGGCCTTTCGGGATCCGTGCAGCTGTTGGTTTGAGAGCATAGAGTCCGTTGAAAGCAGCTGGTACACGAATCGACCCGCCGAGATCAGTCGAGGGCGTGAGTGGTGTACCCTTCATCGCGACCAGGACAGCATCGCCTCCAGAACTACCTCCAGCGTTCAGATCCCGATTAGATGGGTTCAACGTGCGACCCCAGAGGTTGCTGACTGTCTCAATTGCCATGGCGGATTGAGGCATGGTTGTCTTGCAGAAGAATATAGCGCCTTCAGCACGCAGAGCAGCTACGACGGCGGAATCCTGAGCGACGATATTGTTCCTGCCTGAGACGAAAGCCATTGTCGAAGCATGACCTGCGACGCAATGGATATCCTTGGTAACGAGAGTCAGTGTAGTTAAGGAATTATGACTGGTAGATAGCTTACCTTGAGAGCGACAGGAACACCATGTAGTACACCCTTCAGACGGCCACCCTTCTCTAGCGCTTCATCAAGGTCTCTTGCTTCTGCGAGACCATCTTCATAGAACCATTCAGTCAGGCAGTTCACCTACTGCCGTTAGACAATTACCATTGTGTAGTTAGATTACTGACCAGTTGATGCGCAATCGCAGCGCGTCCAGCAAATGCTTCCAAAACTTGCACCGCTTTCAATTCGCGAGTCTCGACTTTCTTGATTATTTCTGTGGCTGTGAGCTCCGTGATTCTGAGCTGCTCTTCATTGAGCAGGCCGCAGGTGTACGGCACGTTGGTGACGTCTTTGAGGTCCTGATACTGATTGACGTCTAATCGCCAGCGGTTGGGGATGGAATTCAGCACTTTGGCTTGAGATACCCTGGCGATGTCTTGCCATTTCATCTTGTGCGTCGAGATGAGACGGTGATGTGTATGACTTCGGCTGTTGTGAAATACTGGGAGGCAATATATGAGCAGGGTTCTTAGAGATGTTGTGTTATTTAAAGATGATCAAAATACATACATCATGGCTCTCGGCGTATCGCAGGTTGTCTCGTGGGTAACGTTATGGACAGCAAGCGGTGGGCCTAGTCCTCAACGATTGGTGAGATTATGGCGATTACGTTGACGTTTCTCCACATCGAATGGCCAGCTTATGTGAAGAGGAACTCCGTGGAGGTCAAGACGAGTAACATTAGTAATTTGTGTTTTCTCCATTGAAGTTTAAGTATTGAACTATATATGCATATCACCAACAGCCTGAAGCAAATACACAATCAACGCCAACGCCAAACCCACCAGATTCTAGTCCAGGATCCCTCAAGCCGTGCTGCCCAAGATCGTCTTCTTGACGTGATTTAGAGCACTTCCGGCACGTAACCAGGCAAGCTGGTGCGCGTGATACGAGTGATTCAACTGCGCCGTCCATTCAGTCCCATCCTTACTCACCACCTTCATCGTAACTTGCTTCTCCGGCTGGAGCGCATCGCCATCGACGTCCAGCAAACTTATAACATCTCCCTCCTGTATCCTGCCATAATCCAATGGGTCCGCAAACGTCAACGGAAACATCCCCTGCTTCTTCAAGTTCGTCTCATGAATGCGGGCAAAGCTCTTTGCGATAACTGCTACACCACCCAAGAACCGGGGCTCTAGCGCAGCGTGTTCCCTGGAACTACCTTCGCCGTAATTGATGTCACCAATGATGCACCATCGAATGCCAGCGTTCTTCATTGTTCTCGCCGCTTTGTGGATGAACTTGATGGTGCCATCTGTAGGATCTTGAGTCTTACCAGTCATGTTTAACGAACTAGCATCGGGGAGGAACCCATTCGTTGCGCCGAGGAGCATATTATGGCTGATATTGGACAGGTGACCGCGATAGTTGTACCATGGTCCTGCCGGGGAAATATGATCTGTGGTACACTTTCCAGAGACTTTGACCAGGACTTGCATGTTTTCTGCTTGGCCTGGCGTCCATGGCTCAAAGGGCGTCAGAAGCTCCAGGCGATCGCTGCCTTCATCGATGGCAACTCTGTAATCTGACGTATCTTCCAGAATAGGTGGCTGGAAGAGATCACTACCAGCGACAAAGGTTTCTGGAAGTTCCTTGGCGACAGGAGGGGCGAACAGGAAGTGAGAGTTACCCGACTCGTCAATGGGAATGGTATCATGCATAGGATTGAAGGATAGATCACCGGCATAAGCAAAAGCAGTGGCGATCTCGGGCGACGTGACGAAAGAATGTGTAGCGGGGTTTCCATCATGGCGACCAGTAAAGTTGCGGTTGAAGCTGGAAATGACTGAGTTGTTCTCAGCGCCAGCGACATCAACATCCTTCCTGTCCCACTGCCCAACGCAAGGTCCGCAAGAGTTGCTGAGGACGACAGCTCCAGCTTCCCTCAGACTTGGTAGGATACCACTCTCCTCCGCAGTTGCACGAATCTGTTCACTGCCGGGGCTTACCATGAAGGGTGTCCTCGGCCGGTCGATGCCTGCCTTCTTGGCCTGTTGGACCAAGTCGTAGACCTTCTCGAGATCCTCGTAGGAGCTATTGGTGCAGCTGCCGACCATACTATGGCTGATATTGGAGGGCCAGGAGCTTTCCTCAACTCGTGTCTTGAATTGGGACAAGGGGTGTGAGAGGTCGGGAGTGAAGGGGCCGTTGATGTGAGGTTCAAGCGTTGAGAGATCAATCTCAATGATCTCGTCGTAGTAGTCCTCGCTGCCACGGTCGGCAGTAAGCAATGTCTCAGTGAAGCCGTCAGCGTAGCAAGCGATGTCTCCTCGCTTAGTCGCCGTAAGATACCGTGCCATAGCCTGTGAGTAAGGGAAGATGCATGAGGTTGATCCGACCTCGGCTGACATGTTGCAAACAGTGGCCATGGCCGTGGCCCCCAATGTCTCAACGCCGGGACCGAAGAACTCGATGACCTTGCCCTTTCCACCAGAGACAGTCAATATGCCGGCAAGCTTGCAGATGATATCCTTGGAAGAGGCCCATCCCGATAAGCTTCCCGTGAGACGAACACCCAAGACCTTGGGACAAACAAGTTCCCATGGCATTCCAGCCATCGCATCCACAGCATCTGAGCCGCCAACTCCAATACCTAGAACACCCATTCCGCCAGCATTGGGAGTATGTGAGTCTGTACCAATAAATAATCCACCTGGAAAAGCGTAGTTCTCAAAGATAGTAGTGTGTATAATACCTGCACCAGGCTTCCAATACCCAATACCGTATTTCTTCGCTGCGCTGCTGAGGAAAGCATAGACCTCGCGATGATCTCCCGCAGCCCGCTCAAGGTCCTTCTTGGCTCCGTACTCTGCGACAATGAGATGATCGCTGTGCACTGATGTTGGTACTCGAACGCGCGGTAGACCAGCGCTGATGAATTGGAGAAGAGCCATAGTCGCTGTCGCATCGTGGCAGGCGACGCGATCGGGTCGTAGACGGAGGATCGTCTTTCCTCGTTCTACTTGGTCGAGTACCCAATCATCGTTGTCGTGGATCAAGTGGCTGTACAGTAGCTTTTCGGAGAGGGTCAAGGGTCTTTTATTAGTACCTTGGACGCGGCGGAGGGATTGGAGGCGGGTAGTGTAATCGAGGGCATTGTACTGTGACCTGGTTAACAGGTGGCGTCAAGAGATGAGCAGAGTTACCAACAGGTTCGAGAGGACTCAATGCTACGTGAGACGAATGTGTCGCTAAGCATCGTCGCGCTTGTGCTAAGGACCTCTGCCGGGCGGAGCAAACCCATCGCAGGCTGAGTCGTGATGCTGTCAGCGGCATTCTTGCGATAGTTGCAAAATATGCATGGCAAGTATCATGCAGCAATTATGATGCCCTTGGATGGTAATCAGCATGTTCTTATTTGTTATCGCAAAAACCTGTCTCTACAATTCTTCGTCCCGTAGCCGAGGGAGCCTGGAGTAGTCCGCACTCCATTTCTCGCCGCTGACGGACTGCTCCGTTCCCCACAGTCCACTATCGTGGTAGCCCGAACTCAGAAACCGGGGTTTGGACCCGTTCCGAAGAGGTCTAGATCTTGATTGTCATTCAGTGGAAAGCTCCAGCTAAAATCGGATCTGTTGAAGTCCTCTAGGAACATCTCGATTTCTGGTTCAAACCCGCCCGCAATTGATGACCAGTCAAACTGGTCGGGGTTGTCTCCAACACCCAAGTCTAGATTTTGCCACGTTGCATTGGTGTCAATCTCAGCCGACTGGCCAGTCTCATCTAAGAATCCAGGCGGAGGCTGACTTCTTGGCCCGTCAGCGTCGCCTGCGTCTCTTGGCCTGCTAGAAGCAGTTTGATGTAGGGATAGACGCGGAGCTTTGTTAGATGCATCGGCCATGTACAGTCTCTTCATGGTCAAATCTGCGACCGACCCAAAGCTGGCTTGACCGTTCCTTGCAGACGGCCACCATTCGCCTCCAATTGTCAAAAGCGTAGAACAACTTCTCAGATTCTTTGACATTGTTTCAGGGGATGCCTTCTCCCGAACGGTTTGTGACGTCCAGAATGAGTAGATTAATGTCGCGCCAGCAGCAAAGATGTTCTGCACAGCCCGCCATCCGAAATGAAGACCATGAAGATCGTGAAGTCGTTGATACCCATCTAAAATACCGGCTGCGCTGTCGAAACAAGCCTGGAGCGCCTCAGAAGCGGGCTGTCGGATGACCTGGGACGGTTGGAAGAGTAAGACCATCGTTGTATGATATTTTAGTCCGAGCTTTATCTTCCAGACTTCCCGTTGTCGGTTATCAAGACTGGGAAACCCAAACGCATCATTTGAGACCTCCTGCCACCAATTATTTAAAGACTGCTGAATCCTGGCCTGTTGTTCCGTGGGATTGTCCGGCCACGGGAAGAAGCTTGAATCACCGGGCAGGTGATATAGGTGAAGCTTGATATCGGACACGATCCGGTCCAGTCTGAAATGATATGACGAGTAATGGGTTACGGCAGTTATGAATGATGGTGGAAGTGGACCTTGAGTATTATCATCAGGGCTCGATAGCACTTCTGGTATCTTAACGTCAAAGGTTTCGTCCCTGAAGCCAAGCGGCCTTCCCTGTATCGATGAAATGGACCTGGCACAGTCAGTATGATCTCAAATGTTCAAGCTTCTGCAGCATTACCTATCTAGGGAGTAAATCGTAAAAAAGGTGAAGCGCCTGACTTGTAGTATAGCGAAGTCGTCTGGGTTCCGCTGGCTTTGTTCCCGATGTATGCCAGTCTCAACACAATATGCAAGCCCAAGATGCACTAAAGTCCAAAGGTTGACCTCTGCTGGCGTAAGCATACCATGCATGACTAGCATCATCAGAGATTGGATCGATGACAAGGTAATATGTGCAAAAGCTTCCTTGGAAAAATGAAGGGCGGCACGGTAAAAGCGCTGTGGCGGAAAGTCGTAGTTCCGTGATCTCACCTTGACTAGAGCGCCGATGTTGAAGACCATAAAGAGGACAAATGCGACTGCTGACAATGTAGCACCTTCTTCATTTGAAAACCCCGGGACTACCACTCTACCATTCCATCGAAACGGCGGCATATTGGCAGGCCATCCATGAGACGATATATCGCATTCCAGAATACCATTAAGGCAAGAATACATGGCTTCGACGGCACTGAAGAGAGAGAGGGGCTCAAGGAAGGGGAAGTCGGGATGGATCCAACGAATGTATGTGTGTATCAATACGAGTGCATTGTGTTTCGACGGCAGCTCCTACTGATAATTAGTGATTAGGTCAACGCGCGACAGCCGATGAATTCACCTGTTTTAGAAGATTGTACAGTTCTTGATTATACTTCCTGTTTTGATCTTGAGCAACAGCGTCATCATCCCATTCGAGCTCTCCGGCATATTTGTCCCCTTGAGGACCTTGAGGCGTGGACTCTACACTCGGCGGGGACGCTCCGATAAGATTTGTGAAGAGAAGTCCAGAGCTTGAGCCAAGGTAATGCTTTTGAGGTGAATCGATATTGAGAGAAAGCATGCCCAGATTGACGGCGACAGAATGAGCACGTTCGGGGAAGGTTTCATCTTGATTAGATTGTCCTGATGGTTCTGCTGACCGTTTGCGCGAAACTGCTGGTGCCGGTGGAATTGATGAAATTGTGATGTCGGTGTCTTCGGGAACTCGCTCATCCTGGGAGGGGGCTGTTGGGTCCGACGAAGGATCGACCTGAGGACCAGAACGTAGGTCTACATCGGGTAGACGGTCTCTGATAATGTCTTCCAACCATCGTATTCTTTCACGGGCGGCGGACACGAAACTTGCTAATGTCAATGAATGCTCCGCGATGTGGTGACGCGTACTCACTTGCGGGGAATAACAACATCTGAATTTTGACTGTCGATATCTAGACAGACCTGCCCGGCCTTTGCGCAGTTGGTGCAAGCGGGTATTTGACCATCGCACTAACACGAGCCAAGGAGGAAAAGCTTTAGTCTGGAAGGTCGAGTTGCTGGAAGTAGGTACTGGTTCTCACCTTAATGCGGCGGATTCGACAGCGTCGACAGGCCAGGCGGACCTTTTTAGGGGCGTTGATACGCGTAGCCATGGGTGTCAATAAGTTTGCAGGGGTGAGAACAGCAGACGATGTGGTTGGCTGTTGTTGCTGAGTGTCTGGTGAAGCTGACAATTGCTCATGATGAGAGTGGATGACCCCGCTAGGGAATGTGTCACGTGTGAGAGACGGTAGACAGCCACCGAGACTAAGGTAGCTTGTTGAAATCATGCAGACCTTGGTCTCGAGACATGATATTGAAAGTTATTTGTATTTTATAGAGGAAATATAGTCAGATTTACTCGATATTTTATATATCCTGATCTGTCACATCAATCAATGTTGTTGAATTGCTTAGTGCAGTGACTACTGATGGTTCAGGGACGAACAGCATGACATTCTCGAGAAATATGTGCGCATATAATGAATGTGTTCTCCTGGAAGGCTACTCTTGAAGAGCAAGAAAACATCAGACCATAATCTAGGATGTCTTAATACGCTCGATAAAGGTTTCTAAGCTTATGCTTATCTATCTAAGTCGTTTGCCACCTAGGATCAGGGTCCCGAGGTGTCGGATCTTTCCTCCTTTAGTCTAGGCATCCATCGAGGTAATTATCCTTATCTAAGCGCTGTGGAGATATGTCTTTTAACATGGTTGATACCGGATGATCAGGCTCGATTGGTCAAGCATAAGCGGCTGATTGACCATTTCGAGCCTATGATATAACTGTCCATATAAATACCATGCCCAACTAGGCAGTTTCATGCCAACTATTTAGTGTGACTACGGGACGCAAAATATACTAGATCCAAGTAGAACTCTGCATTTAACGTATTCGAGACATGGAATTTTGTTATTCTGAGGAAATCGACGCCTCACGCTATGAGACACATGACTTGGATCATGGCATACCTCTGCGAATGCACAAGGACTCAGCCAAGGAGATCAATGGAGCACTTCGAGCTCAGAAGGATTGGACTCACTACGTACGTCCAGTTCATGGGTACAAAGGCGGCCTGGCCGACCCGTACGGCTTCATTAGCGTGACCATTCCCGAATGTCGCCCAGAAAGGCTTGAGGTTGTTTCGTATGCGAATGAGTTTGCGTTTCTCTATGACGGTTTGAGCCTACCTTGCCAGTCGACAGGGATATACTAAACCTTGACAGATGACATGGAAATGCTTGAACTTAAAACACCGACAGAGAATCTTGACAGGTTTCTTCAGCCGTTTGTAAACCCTACGCTCGACGTCGTTGCCCGAAGCCGCCCTGAGAAGAAACTTCAAACACAAATATTCTCGGAAATGATGGCCATAGATCAAAGGCGGGCTATTACGACAATGAAGGCATGGGCAAGCTTTGTCCAGTTAGCATCTCGGACGAGAATGACGCCTTTTGAGACCTTGGAGGAATACATTCCAGCACGGGTCATAGATGCAGGTGAATTGTAAGTCTGCTCGCACGATATTGATGGGATGTGCCTTCGGCTAACAGCAATAGGATCTGGTTCGGATCGTTAACTTTTGGCATGGGCATTACTATCCCCGACGAAGAATACGATCTATGCATGAGCCTAGCGAGGCCAGGATATGCCGCCCTAGGCTTGACGAACGACCTTTACTCCTGGGAGAAAGAACGAAAAGCGGCACAGGATATGGGGCAGGACTACGTCTTCAATGCAATTTGGGTCATCATGAAACAGAGTGCTATTGGGGAGGAAGAGGCGAAAGAAGTCTGCCGACGTGAGATTATGCAGAGCATCTATCAGTTCCGTGGCATCGTGGCAAAGACGAGGGCCGACCTGAGTTTATCTGGGGATCTTCGCGTATATATAGAGGCTGTCATGTGGTCATATATTGGAAACCTGGTTTGGAGCATCTACTGTCCTCGATACAAGTGACGACCGACAGAAGTAGTATGCCTAGAGTAAATTACCCTGATCATTGTTTTATGCATGATTCTCAATCATCTTGATGCATTGGTACCTTTAAAGCCCCCACTGTTGACTATGATTGCCCGGAACGAAAATCCTTGTAAGTAAACAGTCGCCGACTCTTGGATCCCGCTGATCGGCGAACAGACAATCCGCCGACCAAAACTGATGTGCCACGATTTCCGGTGAATCTCTTCTTTAAAAGCGATATAGGGACTAAGTCGCTTTCATATAAATTTTGATCCGTCACTTGATAGCATTTTTGAGATGGACGAGCCATTTACTGACCCTCACGAATCGAGAGTTTACAGGAACATAGGGCGGACTGGATGCCGTGATACGATGGTCGACCATTCAGCAGACAAAGATGATGAACTAGAGAGCAGCCTCAAATATCCATTTTGGTTTGGCGGCAGTGCCAGCGCCTTAGCCGCTTGCGTCACTCATCCTCTCGATCTCGGTACAGTACACCGTCTTCTTCTCGTTAAATGGAACTAACACAAGTATTCTAGTCAAGGTAAGCAGCCTCATAGTTCATATTCCCCTCAATTGATTGACCTTAGATCTTGGTATGCAGGTCCGTTTGCAGACACGTGCGGTAAATGTGGCCCCGTCATTTGCTTCGGCCATCAAGATCATCATCAGTGAGGAAGGTGTATCGGGCTTATACAGTGGTCTGACAGCATCTGTGGTGCGCCAACTCACCTATTCGGGCATTCGCTTTGGCATCTACGAGGAACTAAAGTCGAAAGCGGTTCGTTCTCCCAGTAACCAATTTCTCCTTGTCACCGCGTGGTGTTCCGGATTTGCAGGTGGAATTGCCGGCAACTTTGCCGACGTTCTGAATGTGAGGATGCAGCATGACGGCTCACTCCCGTCCCACCAGCGGCACAATTATCGTCATGTTGGCGACGGGATCCTGCGAATTGCGCGGGAAGAAGGTATTGGCGCTTACATGCGAGGATGGCTGCCCAACTGCACACGTGCTGCAGCACAAACAGCAGGGCAGCTTGCAAGTTATGATATTATAAAAAAGCGCATCCTCGACTATCGAAAGGCAGAAGAAACGCCGGCTGTACAAGCTACTTCTGCGTTTCTAGCAGCTGTGATCGCGGTAACATTGACCAATCCTCTCGATGTTTTAAAAACAAGAGCCATGTCTTCCACGTCTACAATAGGAGCAGGCATGGTAGCTACTGCAAGGGAGGCATTCCGGATTGAAGGACCTGCTTGGATCTTCCGAGGATGGGTACCGAGTTTTCTACGGGTTGGACCGTAAGTATGACGGCGGGAGTTGAATGAACGCTAATGGGATATAGGCATACCATGTGCATGTTTGCCTTTTTGGAGATTCAACGAAGCCTCTATAGAAGGACTTTCAATTGACTGCATATTGCTTGGGAAAAACGAAGGTCCAGTGGTTCACGAGGCTTTTCCTACCAGTAAATGGCAGTAAAGCCGAGTGCTGAGGGGTTATGAAGGATCGGAGGCTTCATCAGCAGCAAAATACTAGAGATGCCGCATTTCCGTTTTCCTATACGTGATCTATGCTCGTAAATTCGGTCACCAGTTTAAACCTTGAATCGATCCGTTGACCGGTAGCCCGTCATGTTACTCCTGTGGAGCTTATCAACACGAGGGGAGTAGTCCATTCCGGTCCAGCGCATGTTTAATCGGGCTAGATCCGTCATGGACTGCTCCGAAACCCGCCGCCGCTGATCGGGATGGTTCCATGACCGACGCGCCGCCGGAGAAATGGGCCCAAGTATTGACTAAAAAGCTCAGAAGGGACCGGAATGGACCCGTAAGCTGATGCAGTCTCTCTATCCTTCCGGTAATGATCTTTCGTGCGAGTAATATCACCCAACGTAGAAACATGGCTACCCAAGTTCTCACCAAGTCCACCAAAGCTGAGCTGTTCCCCAAGGGCGGTTGGGATACCCACCACCATATTTTCGAGCGTATGTCCTCTTTGCATTATATCTTTTAAGACCTCAAGTAACACTGTACCAGCATCAACCTTTTCCTACAGTCCAACCCGCCACTTGACGCCTCCCGCCGCAACAGTCCAGTCCTTCAAGACCTTCCGACAGAAACTCGGCATCACCAATTCCGTGCTTACCCATGGTCTATCCTACGGCGATGACTGTACTTCGCTCAAGACCTTTGTCACCCAGCTTGGAAAGTCAAGTACAGCAGGTGTTGGTGTCATTGACCCAGAAAATACTACCGACGATGCGATACGAGATATGCAGGCTGCAGGTATCTGCGGTCTCCGTGTAAATCTCTATCATTATAACGCGATGGAAGATGTGGAGCTCCAGAAGAAGACTCTCCGTGCGTACCTTGAACGGGTGGCTCGTCTATCTCTTCCTTGGAGTCTCACAATGACAACTATCCGAACGGACTTCTGGGACACGCTCGAACCATTTGTGAGAGAAGAAGTGGCTCCAACAGGCCGACCCCTCATCACTGATCATTTTGGACTGCTGAAGGCACCGAGCATGCTTCCAGCTGAATACCGACATGACCCAACTCAGCAGCCAGGATTCGCGCCGATATTACGGCTCGTCAAAGACGGTCTTCTCTATGTTAAGCTCAGCGCTCCCTATCGTGTCTCTGAGCAGAGTCCAAGATATAGTGACCTAAAGTTTCTTGTGCGAGCTCTTGTAGATGCGAACCCGCGTCAGGTCATTTGGGGTAGTGACTGGCCGCATACCCCGAGGATGAAGGTACGAAGTCGTGAAGAAGCTATGAAGGAGACACCGTTTCTGGAGGTAGACGATGAGGCATGGCTGTGGAGTCTGAGGGAGTGGCTGTCAGATCAGGAATGGGATATGTTGATGGTTGATAACCCAAAGAGACTATTTGGCTAGACTGGCTGTAGGTTATTTTATTGGAAGATTCAGAGCAGAGCAGAGTAATTTCGAGGTCGTATTTTACCCTTATCCTCACACCTTACCATCGTTGATTCTGATACGATGCAAATATGGCATAGAGTAAAAAGCCATCAAAACCTATTCTGACTGGCGGTTTGCCAATTTCGTATATCGGGTCTATTTATCCTTACGGATAGTACGGATCAAATCCCCCATGGCCGCACCGTTACGTAGCTCGGCAAACATCTTCTCATCAATCTCAGCTCGCTCCTGACACAAAGCCACGACTTGCTCTATTAGAGAGGGAGGAACGGATACAACACCATCAGCGTCTCCAACAAGGATGTCGCCTGGGTTAACCCACATATCACGGCCGACCTGAATTGGAACATTGATCTCTGAGGCTCGGGTGAAAGTGTTTGATCCCAAGATAGACTGGCCTCGCGAAAACACCTGCGCCTGGTTAGCTCAATCATAGTAGGAATGAGGAAGTAATATGTACAGGAAATCCGATCTCTTTATGCTCGTTTATATCTCTCATTTTTCCGCTGATGATGACTCCCTCCGCACCAAGGTACTTGGCGCGGGTGGACATGAGGCCACCCCAGCATGCAGAGACTGCCGAAGGAGGCTGATGAATATACATGACTCCACCTTTCACATTGTGGTCGACGAAGTGCGTGTCAAGCTTGGGCTTATCTTCCCATTGTGTTAAAACCATTTTGACCGTGACAGCAGGGCCGAAGATACGAGTTTTCGAGTCGACAGACTGCAACTTTATGCCTTGCAGAAAGCCACCTCTGGGATACTTGAGCTTGACCAGCGCATCTCCGATCTAGAAAACGGTCAGGGAGTTGGAGCTGGAATAGGTACCTGCGGGGTTTGTCTTACGTCGCATGATGTAAACTTGCGTAACAGCTCGCGGGCTTGAGATGACATGATAGATAACTTCCGGAAATTGAAAAGCCAGTAGGAGCTTGGCTTGTAACGTTCTGCTGAGAAGTTGATGCTCGGATGTTTTGATGCAGAGTGGAGAGGACAGTTCCGCGTTCCGCAGTGTGCAAGACGCGCTAGTTGCGCCCCGTGGGGAAGACTTGAAATGGGCACGTTCCTATTGGCCAATTCCCGTGGCAGGACTCTTCCGTCTCACGGACAGCTCCTCGAGCCCAGATATTCAATGATAGAGTCTGGGGAATGCGGGGTATGAACTTTGGGGAACAGGCTGGGGAAGTCCAGCATCAGAGTCTTTAGCTGAGAACTAGCGAAGAGGCAAAACCAATATAAGGATGGACGTGTGCACGCGAAATAACTTCAATCAATCTCACGGCAAGGTCTTCAGCTTAGCTTAGAGACTTCCATTCAACCAAACAGTTCTCGTACCATATTCGTTCAGAATGACTGTCGCCATGACCGAGCAGAAGCAGGATCTTTCTCTCTCGTCAGAGCACGTCGACGAGATGCCAGTCAAGGCTGAAGAGGCCGTTAGCAACGGACTTGGCATGACAAATGAGCAGTACGATACCAATGAGAAGAGTCTGGTCCGTAAGCTGGACTTTACTCTTCTGCCCATGGTCTGGCTGCTTTACTTCTTCAATTATCTCGATCGAAACAACATCGCGTAGGTTCTAACCTAGCGTTCATCAAACTTAGCAGTTCGCTGATTGCCGTCTTTAGTCAAGCGCGTCTCAGCACCTTCGAACAAGACCTTGGTCTCAAAGGCAATCAGTTCAATGTTGCAGTGTCCATCCTGAATGTCGGATACATGCTTATGCAACTCCCCAGGTAAAACAACTCCCTCTAGTTCGAAGCTCAAAGGCCAACGGATATTAGCAACATGCTCCTTACTCGAACCCGCCCGTCGATGTACATCCCAGCCTGGACTGCTCTGTGGTCCATTGTGTCTGCCGCTACTGCTGGTGCCGGTACTTACACTCACTTGATCGTCATCCGATTCTTCCTCGGTATTGCAGAAGCACCTTTCTTCCCAGGCATGTCTCTTCCCTCGACTTAACACAACATATCCACTAACTCCGAGCGCAGGTGCAATGTTCCTGCTCAGCTGCTGGTACCCTCGCAAGGAGCTTGCCCTTCGAACCGCGATTCTATACTCGGGTGTTCTCCTCGCCACCGCCTTCTCAGGACTCATTGCCGCTGGTGTTCTGTCAGGACTGGAGGGTGCTAGGGGCATGGCAGGCTGGCAATGGCTGTTCATCATTGAAGGCGCTGGAAGTTTCATGGCGGCTATTATCGCCTTCTTCGTGCTTCCAGATTTCCCGGGACAAAAGACTGGAGCTATGAAGTGGCTTCTGTCGGACGATGAGCAGAAGGTTGCTGTGGAGCGTATCAACAGAGACCGTGTCTCTCTTCCAGATGCAGATCACGGTGTCTTTGCGGGGTTGATGATGGCTGTCAAGGATGTTCGAACCTGGGTCTTTGTAAGTTGCATTACTGCAAAAGGTCACGCGGGAATGCTAACAATGAATAGGTCATCATGCTCACGGCTAACCATAGTGCGTACGGCTTTAACAGCTTCTTCCCCACTATCGTCAAGGGATTCAAACTCGGCAACACAACTCTTACGCTCATTCTGACAGCTCCTCCTTATCTCATCGCTACAGCTACTGCCTTCGCAACAGCATGGTCCAGCGATCGTCGCAAGAACCGAGGCTATCACATTGCCATTCCCCAAGCGGTTGCCTGCATCGGCTTCATCATTTCCGTTGCCACGCTCAATAACGCCGCAAGGTATGCAGCAGCCTTCCTTTACATCTGCGGCTGTTTCTCATCCAACGCCATGGTCTTCAGTTGGGCTAGCTCAACCCTCAACCAGACGCCTGAGAAGCGCGCTTGTGCTACTGCTATCATCAATCTTCTCAGCCAGCTTGGTAATATCTGGAGTCCGTACTTCTTCCCTGCTAGTGATGGACCGCGCTACATCAAAGCCAATCTGCTCATGATGGCCTTCTCGGCGCTTTCAGTTGCGACTTGTGTGTTGATGAGATTCAGCTTGCAGAAGGCTAATAAGAAGCTTCGTGAGTCAGGCGATGGCATCAATTTGTTTACTTTGTAAGGGTTCGGAACATCATTTAGAATCGTTTAGGTAGCTGGTATCTCGCGACTAAATCACACCAAAAGATTACAGATAAAGAGCTTTTTTCATTGCGAAATTGGTAAACATTCTTGGTATCCAGCAAAATGGAATATTCGTGGTTGTCTTCCGCCATGTGTAATATTGCCGGCTTTACAGGGTAATCTCGGATAGCCCACGAAGTCGGCTTCGCCTAAGATCATCATTAAAGAGCCACTAAACTATGCAGTACTCCATGATTGGCTAAGTTTTGGCGAGAGAACTCGGGGAACCGTTCACTGCAGTGCTCCGCCCGACATCCGAGACCAGCAGATCCACGAGTCAGCTAATCCGTACGCTTGGCCGTTTTCATCCAGCAGCAAAACATGAAAGACTTGGGTCTATTGCCTCCAGTGAAATGACGAGCATTCATGCCTCGAGCTTTATCGTCTTTGTCTTGTTCTAGCCTTGCAATCATCCGACAAAATGCACATTCTCCAAAGACAGCCCATTGACGTTGAGTCAACACTAGCGTCTTTGACTCTTGCTGAGAAGATTTCTCTTCTGTCTGGTATGTTATCATTGGCCTACCACTCAGTAAACCATTACTCATAACCCACAGGATCCGACTTTTGGCATTCTAAAGCTATACCATCTCATGGCATCTCATCAGTAAAATGCACTGACGGGCCCAACGGTGCTCGCGGAGGGAGGTTCTTCAACCCTGTTCCGGCATTATGTATCCCCTGTGGGACTGGACTTGGTGCAACCTGGAACCCCGATCTTCTCTACTCTGCAGGTCAACTGCTATCCAGAGAATGTGACGCGAAAGGTGCACATGTTTGGCTAGGCCCTACCGTCAATCTGGTCCGGGGACCCCTCAATGGCCGCGGTTTTGAGAGCTTCTCTGAGGATCCACATCTAAGTGGCGTGTTAGCGACAGCAATTATTCGTGGAGTCCAAAGCAGAGGTACTGCAGCAGCCTTGAAGCACTTTGTGGCCAATGATCAAGAAACGGCCAAGATGTCCATGGATATATGCATGTCAGAGAGGGCGTTGCGAGAAGTCTACCTCAAACCTTTCCAGATGGCCGTTAGGGATGCCAAACCCAAGATTGTTATGTCTTCGTATAACAAGGTCAACGGTGTACATGTGTCAGAAAGCACAAAGCTACTGAAAGACATATTACGAAGCGAGTGGGGGTTTGACGGTCTAGTCATGAGTGACTGGTAAGTAGTCCACTGCTAATCATATCACGGCAAACTGACAGTCTAGGTACGGCACTTATGGTTGCACTGATGCACTCAATGCGGGCGTAGATATTGAGATGCCAGGTCCCTCAAGACACCGCGCTGAGAAGGCCTTGGTCGCAGTCGTTTCAGGCAAAGTCAGTCGCAAGACGATAGACGAGCGAGCAAGAAAGGTTCTCGAGCTGGTCAATAGCACAGCTTCAGCTCGAGTATCGACGAAAGAATCAACTCGTGACTCACCAGAGGACAGAGCGCTAAACAGACAACTCGCGACGGAGAGCATCGTACTGCTAAAGAACTCGGACAACATTCTGCCCATTAATCCTGCAGACTGTGAGGATGTCGCTATCATCGGTCCAAACGCCAAGCTTGCCGCAGCATGTGGTGGGGGAAGTGCGAATCTACGACCATATTACACCAGCTCTGTCTTCCAAGGAATCAGCGACCAACTTGCATCCAATGTAAAGGTGCATTTTGAGCCTGGAGTATTCGGCCACGTTTTGCTGCCATACTTCACGGGCGATCACATCAAGAATGAGAATGGGAAGCCAGGTGCCTCTATCTCTTTTTTCAACGAGCCGGAGTCAGCGTGGCAAACAAGGAAGCCATTTGACCATCAAAGCATTCCAGACACAACATACCAGCTAATGGATTATGATCACCCAGAGAAGGGCGAGACGTTCTATATGTCCATGACAACTTACTACAAGCCAGAAATAGACGGGACTTATGAATTCGGTCTCGCTACCTACGGAGTCTCGAGACTATATATAGACGAACAGCTAGTCATCGACAACGCGACGTCACAGACCCATGCTGGGATGTTTTTCGGTCATGGATCTAGGGAAGAACGTGGGACATACGAGATGAAGGCAGGTCAGACATATCGACTGCGCGTTGAGGCTGGCAGTGCATTGACCTCTATAACAACAGGCGGCTCCTTCATTCCTATACCGGGTGGAGCATGCCGTCTGGGCGGTTGTTTAAAGCTCGATCCAGAGGAAGGCATTAGACGTGCTGTCACAGCTGCGAAGATGTGTAAACACACTTTCGTTGTAGTCGGCCTCAATGCAGATTTGGAAAAGGAAGGCAAGGACAGAGAGTCTATGAGTCTACCACCGCATGTGGATGACCTTGTGTCCTCGGTGCTAGAGGTTCAGCCGAATGCTATAGTGGTGACTCAAGCAGGAAACCCGATCGAGACGCCATGGCGGCACAAAGCAAAGGCTATCCTGCATAGCTGGTATGGAGGGAATGAAGCAGGCAATGCAGTAGCCGACATTATCTTCGGGAGGGCCAATCCCAGTGGCAAGTTGCCTATCACATTCCCGAGCAAACTCCAGGATGGGCCGACTTTCTTAAGTTTCGGAAGCGACAACGGAAGGATATACTACTCTGAGGATGTTTTTGTTGGGCATCGCTGGTTCAATGCTCGGGGCATTGAGCCAGCTTTCGAATTCGGGTAAGTCGACTCCACGAGTTTTTGTAAACTACCGCTAACAGTATCTAGCCACGGCCTAAGCTATACAACATTCTCAACATCTAATATCCGAGTTACTGAGGATGGTCTAGGCGTTGAGGTGAAAAACATCGGCAAAATGGCTGGAGCCGAAGTTGTGATGCTTTACGTCTCTTATGATGCGACAAAGTCAGGCCAGAAGTCGAGATTTCACCGCCCGTTGCGAACACTTGTAGGCTCCCAGAAGGTCTTCTTGGAGCCGGGTCACGAGGCGACGGCGTTTATGTCTTTAGACAAGTACAGCACCGCGGTTTGGGACGAGGCGGCGAATAGCTGGTTTTGCGAATCGGGAACATATATCGCTACTGTGAGGAGCTCAAGTGGCAATTTAGAAGTGGGCTTCAAGGTGGAGAAGGATATGTATTGGAACGATACATAGTTTCAGCAAGTGTATTTATACAATATACATATAAGTATTTGTTCCAAATGATAGCAAGAGTCGTATTGTTACATACTACCAACATCTGGCATGGTCCAATCTGTATCTGCAAGAGGCCAGAATGAATCCATGAAAACGTCAGGCTGCCCAGAGCCATACTGCCCGTGAAGCCCAAAATTAAATATGCTGTCCAAGTGAAGCTCAGACTCCCCGATGTAAAGACCAAAATCTGTTTGATCCTGATGATCCTGAGTGACTGGCCCAGGCAGCGGCGAGATGCTCATGGAGATAAAGTTCGCTGTCGATGCAGGCCCTGCTTCATTCCCAAATGCCATTTCTGAAGTTGGCTGCCCAGAGTTTCCATGGTCTTCACACTCGCCTTGCTCTCCGGGCTGAAATTGAAGGTTCTGAACCGTTTCGGTGACGCTGTGCTTGGAAAATACCTCTCTGGTCCCGGAACCACTGATGTCTCTTGAAGCTCCTGTTGCGTTGTAGCTCTCTGACTCTTCGTCCTCCCAGATTGAAGGGCAGGCGTAAGGTCCGTGGCGGTCGCGCTGGGCATCATTTACCAGATCGCAAATGCCCTTCTTCAAGATCGCAGTTGTGGGAAGTATCACTGCCTGTTCTTCCAAGGCCTCAGCACAAGCAGTCAATCGAGCGACAAGCTCCGTCTGTGGCATATCGCCCATAGGGTACTGTCCAAGTCTTGAAATGATCCTCGCAGAATGGAAAGCGCACATCGCAATTGAAGGATCACTGATCAACTCCGATCCACCAACTGACTTGGGTATCTCAAGGATCTTGGAAACGGATATGGCGTGGTACAGGCACTTTTCGCGACATGCTGAGGTGTATTCTGGTGATAGTTGTAGTATCTCAGCTGTCGGGAGGCCTTCTCTGAAGCCGGGAATGGTGAAGCGGAAGAGGTCGCAATGTGTCTGATGCCACCAAGCATGCAGCATCAAAAATGGGGTACGCGAAGGCGAAAAAGCACGTAGAGAGAAGGCTGCTGGGTCCCAATGGTATCGTGCGGGCAAACTAGCTGAAAATTGGCGCAATTCGTTTTCGATCGACTCTACTGCGAGAAGGCATTGATCGATAGGCTCTCGGTGATTCGTGATCGTGAGGGTAAGTCTAAGTCTAAGTTAGGCGAGAAGTATGCAGCAGTATATCTGAGCTCTAACCTTTGCACGCGATTACGAATGTCCAACACGCGAATACAGTAGCCAAGCAGGCCAATATTGGTTGTATCTTCATGGGAACTCGAGTGCAGCGGCACTGTTGTTACCGGAGCATCCATGGAAAACGACTTTTCTGCGCATGGCAACCGGATGTGGAGAGTCTCTGGAGTACATGCCGTGAACTCCGTCTTCCCACTTGAGTACAACGAGTCCATGATATAGATGGCCCACATCAGTCGTCGACGACGCTCTTGCACTAAAAACTTCTGACGCGGATCTTCGTGGTTAAGCCGAAGGATGTAGGCGAGCCTCGATGTTAGAGCCATCGAGACAAGCATCTTGCTGACACGCTGCGAGAGATAGTGGTCTAGCGTAACGAGAAGCCATGCCTCGATATCTGATAGCCGAGGCTGCGCAACTCGTCTGAGGAGGTGTGACTCTGCATCTTCAATCCATTTCTTTGCCATCGTTCTATGTTCAGAGCTGCCAGGGTTGATAAACCGCGATGTTATCCCGCATATCGCGGATAGCACGCACGGGTTTAGCTCATTCTTTGACCACGATTGTAACAGGGTTGCTCTATGGAGAAAACCGTAACATGGTATCGGGTGTATTAGGTCGAAGTAGGCATCGATGTGTTGCTTGACGGTTTGTTTGTCTATTCCTAGGTCCCTGTTTCCAATCAGCCTTGCAAGCGCGAGTAGAAATAATGGTATGACTTACCATTGTGAAATCTGTGCTGATGTTGGCATCGAGCCCGACCAAAGCTGACGACTTGGTTGCCTTTGAGCCTGTGAGTGTTGAAATTCACGGTGGTCGGATTCTGGGGCCGATGGAGTGCTGCCCGCTGCAATCGAGGGCTCACCACGAGGCGACGGGCCAGAGTCATGGATGCTAGCCCTTGCGGCTGAAGGGTAGTGGCAAAGACTTCGTCGATCCGAACATCTCGAACATGTCGGTCTCTGGCCAGAGCACTTCAGCTTGCGATCGCGACAAGGTATACACGCCCTAGATACGCGTCGTCTTTCTAGTATCTCTATCGCGTTGTCGGAGTCTGTTGCTAGAAGAGAGCAATTGAACTTGAGCCTCTTGCAGTTGTTACAGCCTTTTGGATCGCCATCGCATCTCACCTGCAGTCAATCCATTAGCCGACGTTCATTTGTTCGGACCTGTCACGTACCTTGCGGTTCCGACATTGCGCACATATCTCGGATGTCTTGTGATTTCGCATACGGGGCCCAGTTCTTGGCTCCATTGTGAATTTCATCCGAACAGTTCGGGCCAGAATGAGAGAAGGAAGTCGGGCGGAAGAGGAGAGTCGAGATCTACCCAAGTTCTAAGCAACAGAAATCTTTCCGCCCGACATCCGAGCCCGGAAATGCACTAACGCCGCGAAACTCCACTTACCCCAGACCTCGCCTGGGGAAATCAGGAGAGCGACCAGGCTAGCAGACTCTGCAGGTCTCGAACAGGCGTTACCTTGACGCCGGGTCGACGCGTGATAGTAAAGCTTTGCGGGGAGAGTTTCTCTGGGGTAAAGTGGCTGCGTATATCAGCACCGCATCATCCCAGTCAGGATCTTCACAATCAATTCAACTCCAATCAACCCTTACTCATAGTTGGGAGAAAGACACAATGTTGTCCAAGAACAGAATCCTTCAACACTTCAACCGCCATCTGGCGATTGCCTTCGCAGTCATCGCTGTGTCAACCTTCAACTATGGTTTTGACAATGCAGCTTACAACAATACACAGGCCATGGAAGCTTTCCAGGCGCAATTCGGTGAGTGGGATGATGAGAAGGGCAAGTATGCCATTCCACCATCGTGGTTGTCTCTCTTCAACAGCTTGAACTATATTGGTTTCGGAGCTGGTGTCATCATTGGCAGTCTTGTGAGTGAGCGATGGGGACGACGGTGGTGTATGTTCGTCATGAGTGCTTGGGCACTGGTTCCAGCTATCATGGCTGTTACATCGACAAGCAAGCATCAGATCATGGCCACGAGAATCCTCAACTGTAGGTGCTACGTAATCCGCCCAGCTGATAAACATGGCTGACACATATCAACAGATATCTACATTGGCATGGAGCTTGCTGTCGTCCCCGTTTACCAGTCTGAGATCATGCCCCGAGAGATTCGTGGCTTTGCAGTTGGCTCGTACCAATTCAGCTTGATGGTGAGTTCTTCTAACACAGTTTCGATCACATAAGCTGACAAAAGATAGTCTGGAACTCTCATTGTGGCATGCGTCTGTCGAGGAACAAGTACACTCTCTGGCAATCTGTCCTTCCGAATCCCCTTCGGTCTCTTCTTCATTATCCCCGTTGTCGTCATGTGTGCCATCTTCTTCATCCCAGAGGTAAATAACTCACACCAAAGACTAATTTCTCCATGCTGACCAATTATAGTCCCCTCGATGGCTGCTCACCAAAGACCGAACCGAGGAAGCTCGCGCCGCCCTTGGAAAACTACGAGAGGGCAAAGAGACCGAAGCCGAGATCGACGAGAGCTTTGCTGCTCTTCAATATGCCTTGGAGCACGAACCTGAGCAGGGCAACTACCTCGAACTTTTCCAGGGAAAGAATCTGAAGCGTACTGCGATTGTGGTGGCTATGAACTTCTTCCAACAAGCTACCGGCCAAGCTTTTGCCTCTACATACGGCGCCATCTTCATTCGAGATATCGGAACTGTCAACCCTTTCACCATGACCATCGTCAATGCCATTGTCAATCTCTGCTCAGCCTTTGCTGGTCTTTATCTCGTTGATCGAGCTGGTCGCCGGTAAGTCCCTTTTGTCCATTCGTTGTTGCATACCACTAATTCTTCTAGCCCTCTTCTGTTGACGAGCGCTGGCTGGATGTTCTGCGCCATTATCACCATGGGCGCTCTTGGCACAGTTCCCAACCCATCTTTCGGTATCAAGTCAGGCATCGTAGCAATGCTCACCCTCTTCGGATCCGGCTTCACTTTCGCCTTCGCACCTCTCAACTACGTCATCACCACCGAAATTCCCGCTCTACGACTTCGTGACGCTTCCCAGCGAACGGCCTCCATCGTCAATGTCGTAGTCAACTTCCTCGTCAGCTTCAGCATCCCATATATGCTATATCCTCAATATGCCGGTCTTGGGTCCAAGGTTGGATTCGTTTTCGCTGGTATTTTGGCTTTGGCTATTGTCTTTGTTGTCTTCTGCGTTCCTGAGTGCAAGGGTAAGTCTCTGGAGCAGATTGATCGAATGTTCAATGAAGGTATTGCTCTTCGCAAGTTTGGCAACTACAAGCCTGAGGATTTGACTGGAGATGTTGAGGAGATGGGAGGCAAGGAGAAGGGAAACGCTTCGGTCGTTGTCAACCACCGCGAACAATCATAAGCACTGCTCGTCTGTATCTGCAATGAGTAACTATAATAGGCTGATAGGAATTAATTGAGGATGGGTTTATTTTCATTAATCATCATGGCCTCCATATCGGTGATGGTAGCCAGCAATTCGGGGTCATTTTGACAAGAGCGCTTCCTCTGGTCTCGCTATAGAACTCGTGACTGTGTCGTCCGCATCAGTCTGGATCGTCTCTATCGTTCTCTCAATAAAGATATTCTCAGTGCTGGACATATCGGACTGGTTTCCTCGTTTCAATCGAAGTACAATGTCTCGCACGAATTGACGTGCTCCAGGCATGCATGCTACCATCATGCCTACGCAAATCTCGATGTTTGACCAGATGATTATCCCGACTGAATCGGCTGCGTCATCAGTCAGTAGATTTCAGCACATTGAAGAATGACTTTCTTACCAGTTATGTTTCGTGACGTTGAAAACACTATCAGGCTCGGGATACGAACGGAACTGACGATCGTGAGACTATACCATACAGGTCAGGACGAATATTACTGTACAGACACTTGACAACTTACAATAGGCCCACTCCGAACATAGCAATAACCCCGATCTTTTTCTTTAGCTTGATCCCGATTTTGAGCAGTTGAGTCATTGGAAGAATCATCATCCAAATTTCCAAAGCAACGTTCCATGCACCATGAGTTATACCTATGAGATTTCCACTCAACATAACACCTCGTGGATTTTTGTCCCTCCATCCATTCCAGAACAGATCGAGGGGCCGTCGTTGAGCGAGGATGAGTGCAAGATATAAGGGACACATGACTAGGATAAAGATGGTGGTCCATCGAACAATGATGCGGAATCGTTGGTCGGGGAATATCCGAAGGAAAAAGGCCAAGATCGATAGCTTTACGAGGGCGAGCGACGTAGCGTATGAGAGTTCGGAAGCGAAGATCAGCTAGATTTATTAGAGTTGTACAACCCGAGATGTCATAATCACGTACGATGAGAAAGATGCGAATATTATTCTCATCCACAAACCAAATATCGAGTCCGAGACCTTTTGAAGTGACTAACGTCGCAAGCTTGCGTCAGTATTATATAAGGACGTGATGAGAAGAGAAACACGTACGTATTTGGCAGAAAATATTAAATGCGATAATAAATGGCTATGTGATTGTCAGAGGCACGACCACAAAAGTCTAGTTGCATCACATACCAAGGCTGCTAATAAAAGGCTATCGTCATGACCATATGGCACGAATCCGATTATCTTTGAGATGGCTCTCATGGTAAAGAAGACCATAGCTAAAATGCCTATCGTCAAACAGCTGATTCTGATTTCTTGTCGACGGTCGGTGATCGGCCAGTCACATGCGCGGAATGTTCTGTTCTTGAAGTCTAGCTGTTGCGTTAGCCCTAGATATTGAAGGTACCTCATGCAGTTTGACGCCGTTTACCTAGTATCTCAGTGAAATTGCAGTCGTGTTTTACACAGATTTCAACATTATGATAAAGTGGCTTGTCTCGGCAAAGGTCCTCTGTTTGGCTGCCTTGAAAAGCTTCCGTGTCCTTCGTCTTGGTGAAACATGTCCTCTACGCCAGTCAGCTTCAGATTGATTCAAACAAGTCATTGACACTGACCGCACACTCAGATGTTCCTGTCAAAGGGTCGATGGCGCGTCCATCGAGCTCATTAGTTTGGGCTAAGCCCCCAGCAGGTATCGAGCATAGTGTAAAGGCATATAATACTCGAGGTACGAGCATGGTAGCATTTGGCAACGAAACGTTGTCCAAACAAAACAAAACACAAAATTCGTTCCTGGAAGCGTGATCATCATTCTTATTCAAGGGGTAGATTACATATCTGCCTTTGTGGCGCAGAGATCCCGAAACCTAACGCCCTTTTTTGCATCAAAATGCCTCTTTTAGGGATTGTACAAGGCAAGTTCCAGGCATGGTGGCGCGTGTGCAATGAGTATGGCTTCGATCTGTGAGATGATGACGGTTCGAACATGCAAATATCGATCTGTAGCAAAATAAGATTTGTTTTCAAGGATGTTAGCTTGATCGGCGCCGTGGTGGCTTCCGGATCTCGACCCAGATGGCTTACATAGCATTCCAGATGCGCGGGGTCAACGATGAAAGCATGTCGCCGCATACAGGGCGGTGAAGTTACGATTTGATAAATCAATGTTCTGTGACATCAATTCAATGATGCTCAACTGTACCAGAATGAATATTGAGTAATTCTTTGTGCAGGCATGTAAGGGAACAGATATTTATGCGCAAATACGATATCATATTGTCACGAGGCGGCCATGACACTTGACACGCCACCAGTGAAATAGAGTCCATGTCACATAACTCATTGAAGATCTAAGGCAGGTAAGAAATCTCAGGACCTCTCTCCTAGAGTGCCGAAAATACTTAGGCAACTTTAGCCTAAGCTTAGGGGGGCTCCTGACCAAGTTTATTTTAGTATCCTCTTCTTAAGTCTCAAGTTTTCTTACACCTTTAGAACACTTGAAGCAACCATTAGCCGACGCACTCTGTTCTTGAAACCCCTCGCCCTTTCAGCCACGTCCGCCGTTCTGCAAGGTACAGACAACGAGGCTTATCCCTGGATCTTCGGAGGCGAATTCTCTTGTTTCTTTGGCGCCACGCCATCTGAATGATACGATTCTACACTTTTGCCCCTAGTTCGATCAACCTCACAAGGCTAAGAGAGTGCACCCTCGGTAACTTCCGCAGGCGTTTTCGATTCTCTAAAAATGAACATGGGCAATGGTCTGGGATCAAGTGTACCGTTGGTTATCGGCCAAGACCCTTGTGAGGGCGAACGAGGCAACGATCGACGTGCAAGAGGACGTCCTTTCTCGACCAATCAAAATACACCGTAGAAGCTCTATCTAACTGCGAAAGGAACCTCGTATATGCGGATAAGCGACAATCTAATCGGGCTAACTCTCATCCCGCGTGGCTGTAAGCTGTCTAAATCTGCCTTCGCCAAGTTTCGTCGCGAATGTGCATATAAGCTCATTGAAATAATGCTAGTTACAAAGCCTCTCTCTCTAAAGCTGATGTTCCTTTAAACACTGAGTATACTACTCCTCAACTATCAAACAACTGATTTCGAATGCTTGGCACTCTCGAGGTTGTGGCCTGATGACTCACCGTAGGGCGCACCTTAGCTTGGTTGGGGCTGCTTATACGACAGCTGCTTAAAGTGTCCACTAGGCTTGCATACATATCATCCGCCGCCCTGTACCACAAATAAGTGTAACGTTACTGTATTGGCTTCATCTATAGATGTTGAGTAATGGTATGGTCGCTTCTAGTGACCTCAGGTAACGTAACAACGGTCTTGTAGCTACGGTAAGGGAATAACTACAATTCAGGGCATTCTGCGCTTCACATAATATAAGTTCTGTAACCCACGGTCGTACACTCTGGTTGAGAAAGTCGGCATATCAATCCCTACTAAGCAAACCACCATCAACTATGTCGCAACTTAAGATCGCTTCGGTTCAGTTCGAGAACTGGTCCGGAAGCAAGGATAAAAACCTAGCCATCATCCACCGAATGGCAAGCGATGCGGCAAATCGCGGATGCAAAGTTGTTGCATTTCATGAATGCTCGGTTACCGGCTATACCTTCGCTAGCCGCCTCTCCAAAGAAGAACTCCTTGATCTTGCCGAAGAGGTCCCTACTGGTCCAAGCACTGGCTCTCTGGTTCAAATAGCCCGTGACCTCGGTATTGCTATCCTGGCTGGCCTCTTCGAGAAAGATGAAAATGGCCGCATTTACAATACTTACATCTGCGTCGACAGCACCAGAGGCTTTGTGGCAAAGTTTCGCAAGCTTCACCCCTTCATCAGCCCTTATCTGAGTGCGGGCAATGAATATGTGGTTTTTGACCTTCTTGGTTGGAAATGTGGTATTCTGATATGCTACGATAACAACGTTGTCGAAAACGTTCGGGCTACAGCTCTTCTCGGCGCAGAGATCATTTTCATGCCGCATGTAACGATGTGCACTCCGTCAACTCGCCCAGGCGCCGGCTTTGTTGATCCGTTGCTTTGGACTAATCGAGATCAAGACCCGACTTCTCTGCGGGCAGAGTTCAACGGTCTGAAAGGCAGGCAGTGGCTGATGAAATGGCTACCAGCAAGAGCCTATGACAATGCAGTCTACGTCGTGTTCTCAAATCCTATTGGTATGGATGATGATCAGTTGAAGAACGGGTGCTCCATGATTCTTGATCCATTCGGGGATATCTTGAGTGAGTGCTCTGTGCTGGGAGAGGACATGGCTGTTGCGACTTGCAGCAAAGACAAGCTTCAATTGGCAGGCGGGTTCCGGTATAGACAAGCCAGAAGACCCGAGCTATACCGAAATATCATTGCTTCAGATCACAACTCTTCTCTGAATGTTTCCTGGTTGGGCAAGTAGGACTTCTTGGAAGTCTGGGCTGACGATCATGAGGCCTGGCTGGCGACCGCTTCATTCATCAAACAGTAACGGTCGCGTGGCCCAATGGCAAGGCGTCTGACTACGAATCAGAAGATTCTGGGTTCGATCCCCAGCGTGATCATACTTTTTGTCTGTCGGGCCGATCTCTACCCTTCCAGCGATGAAACTCAACCTTCATGCCATTTGCTCGGTCCCGATGTTAGTGCCTCGAAGGTGTTCGGTCCCGATGCGATCTGCCTGCCTTTTGCAGAAGGAATGCGACAGAGTTGCTGGTGGCGGCGGTTAGTGGCTCAGGTTCCTGAATGAATTAGTGTGTTTTTGATGAACCCAGCGGTATGGTTATGGCGCTGACGTCGGCAAGCCCTGTACCAACTTTTCTTTTAACTTTGTTGGCCTTGGCGATGAAGTTGAGAATCTTGATTGTTCTATTTAATTTAATGTGCTGCATATACTAATCCCAAAGACGATCGAAGCTGCAACTGATTATGTGACTTCTCGATGGATCGCATTATTCCATGAAGGCTAACCTATTCGGCAACATTCGTCACAAAAATCAGGTTAGCAAGTTGATAGCACAGTCTATTTAGCATCAAATCAGAGTGATTAAATTCCCAGCCATCACTGTGCGGTTAATACAACGCTGAAGATACAAGCAAGCAGCATCATGAACATCAAGTTCGTTGGCAGGCGACCCGTCGCTCCACTGTCCTCATCATCACCAGCCTCAGCCGTAGTCGACGAAGCTTCCGCCGAACCTGTTCCGGATCCAGTCGCTGTGCTGAGAGGAGTTGCAGTAATCGTCGGCAACTCAGTTGGAATTTCAGTACCCGCAGATTCTGCAGGCTGATTGTACTTCAAATACATTGTGGGGACATCAGTGGCGGCAGAAGCCCCAGGTACATCTCGTACAATTTCGTGAATGTCGTCTTCAGCCTCCTCAGAGTTGTATTGGGCTAGAGAGATCTCCATGTTGCCCCAGTCGTAAACAACATAAACACCTCGGAGGAAATCGTCACCTAGGACAATGCTAGTGGAATCTTCGTAATAGACGACTTTGCAGTATGCAACACCGTCGACACCACTCTTGACTGGGGTTGTTGAGAGGAAGTTTGCGAGAGGTACGTTCAGAGTCAGGTCGCCAAACGTAAAATCCAGCGTTTCCTTGGAGCTGATGTTGCAAGGCGCTACAGCACCCAATTTCTCATCCATGGAGACCTTCATAGTCTTGATTAGATGCAAGGTCATGTTAAGACTCAGTCTACTCTGTATAGTGCCCGAGTCGAGGAGAACGGGTCGAGATTTAAATTCAAGATCTGAAGTCTTGCCACCAGAGGTTGTCCCGAAGCCTGTCATAACCACTAGGGCTCTGTCTCGCACGTCAAAGGTGTCGTCGGCGGCAACAGGATAGGTGACGAGGGGGCCTGTATACTTGGCTTTGTTGACGCCACCAAATAGAAACTCTCCATGCGTCTCGTTGTTGAGCCATAAGCTGAATGCGGGAGTATTGATCTCTCCTGCATTGGCCAGAGCATAAGGCAGGTTGGGGTATTTTATGTCAGCATGTTCCAGGCTGTAGATACCGACGCCGAAGATGCTAAAGATGCCAGCGGTGGTGGCATTGAACTCAGTCACGCCAACAAATTGGAAAGAGTCCAGAGTGGATGAGCCAAGTGTAAATGTGTCGTTAGCATATTCACCCGTCCAGCTTTCGCCACTACCGAAACTACCAGACACCTGCTCGTCGCTCCACTCGAAGGTTTCTGATTTTTCTGGGTTGAAAATACCACCCTGACACTCCTTTTCCTTGCAAGTTTTGATCTGATTAGTGAGAACAAGCAAGTCGGAGCTCCCGGTGTCGATTTCTGCGGAAAGCCTTTGCGGCGGGTTTCCGATGGTGAAATTGGCCCAGTAGAGGAAGCCCTGCTGGTCCACCTTCATCTCGACGACGGCATCACTGTTTCTTTTCTCGTGGCTGGGAAAGGCGTCTTTTGTTCGCTTCTCAAAGTTAACTGAGACGACGGATGGATTGTGACGCTTATGGAGTTGAAGAGCGTTGGCGCAACTCAGGAGAGTGCTGGACAGAACAAGTAAGGATCCCTTCATTGCGAATGAAGTGATGATCAGAAGGCAAAATGATAGATGAAAGACGATAGGAAGCTGTACCGAATTGACAGGCTCTTGCCCATGCTGTGCAGGTTCTCACAGTTCTTATTTACTTGCTGGCCTCGGCGATTTTTCTCCTCTTCACGGCGCTGGTCCCTTACTTCGGGACCGAAGTCTTGGGACTTTGGAGATGCACAATAGATTACGATGGGAATGGAGTCGCTTAATTAACCTGCGATCGTTCTCCAGCCATTCATGGCATGTAAAACATGTGGACGTGCTGCTACTCTCCCGGGCCGATCCTTGCGATTTTAGCCCCCAGTTTGAGACCCAGTTGGAACAATCTTCTCGGTCCCGAAGGATAAATCTATGTTTTTTCGGTCCCGGTGTTGTAATTTCAGCCTTACAGAGCAGGGATTATAGATGCAGCTTCGGGAGTGGCGACGGTTGGCGTTAGACCCCTGATCCATTTCTGCATTATCCCGAGGTTTGACAACCGGTCTGTTTTGCTAATAGCAGTAGGGCTTACTCGACTTAATGAACCCGCAATTTCGTTGAATGAACTTTTGTGCTGGAGTTGGCGATCAGCAACTGTGCCCCATAACGCTAGGAGCAATCCTTGGCAGCTCCCATTACCATACCCTACAGCTCAACATTTGCAGTCAGCGGTTTGGCTCAACGAACTAACGAAAGATGAGTAGGGTCTTGTATGACTGGAATGTTTGAAATGCATAAGTCATACAGCATTAATAGGTGCTGACTTGTCGAAAGCTTCGGGTCTGGCTTACTGTTGACTAAGCTATCCGCAGTACAGCAGAACGGAATGAGAGATGATTCATCCTACCCATGCAAGGAGAGCCCGATGTAAAACAAAGTAGAAAATGAGATATCAGCATAAATGGAAGGACTAATAGTACATCCAGGAGTGACAAACACTGCTTGAAAGAGCTTAGTAACCTTTAACGAGGCCCCGTATGCCAATATGGAGTGGAACAAGCCTGGTGACGAACATCTAAACATCCGGTGTGGTGTATCGGTTATCATTCCGCGTTTTCATTATGAAATAGTTCCGCGGCGAGGAGGGTTCGACTCCCTCCATCGGAGTTTACTTTTGAGTTTTCTGTTCTTTTTGCTGGTCTTGCTGGTCTTCGCGGCAGTTTATCAAGCATTTCTGGGTCCTTCAATTCATGGTTGTGGACAGCCCTTCAACAACCCAAAGATGCAGCCACCTACGAAGTAAGAGCAAATCCAGCAAAAAACACTTGGGGTCAATAGATCTGACAAAACAACGAAAATTACTTCTCAACGTTACTGCTTTCTTCGATCAGGTGAGTTTTCGAAGAGTGGAAATTAAGAAGGTGATTTAATAATGCTTGTACTACTAAGTAGAAGCAAGGAACCAGCCCAATTCTCTATTGCGAGAAGAAAGGACGGAGAATGCGAAGTGCCAATTACTGAAACTGCAAAAGACACCAGATACTGTTTTACGTGTTCCAGCTTGGAAAAAACACAAAAATGGAGGCTGAGGGATTTGAACCCCCGACCTTTCGCAAGCATTCGAAACAATGCAAAGCGAACGTGATCCCCCTACACCAAGCCCCCGGTTGGATGCTGACTCATACGCTAATTGAGCACTATGATCATGCTGCTTGTTCACGTGCAAACACTTTAGCGCAAAACAGTGAGGTCAATGGTAACTCTCGCGTAAAGAAGATGTCGTTTAACTATACTCTGAAGAAGATAACAACCAGTCTGAAGAACTCGCAAAGATCCGTCAGTATCACGCAATAGATATCGAGTTAGTCGGCGGCGTTTATCTATCTAACAAAACCTCCGTATTGCATTTACCTCTTTAGTCAAGGTTTATAGCTGCCAACGCTCTGAATTTAGTTGATTAAACTCAGTAATACGATAGTACTGCCGGTGTACAGGTTGTAGTATCCAAGAGGGGCCCAAGATAACGTTGGCTGATTTATAACAAGGCACTAAAATAACGAGGTTCCGAATCCTTCGGCATTTCAACGCATCCGCGCGCATAGGGTTTGTAAGCAATCATCAGTCTTAGACGCCTGGTAATGGAAATAGTCTGGACCTCGGAGCAGTTCTATTGCCGACTGTGACCTAGTTAGCACGTAAAAGATAATGGTAGGAGTTGTCTCTCTAATCTCGTATCCAATACCTACTTCACTAGAACCCACATTGAGTCATCGATGCGAAGCAGCCAACCATCCGTGGGAAAGGGTTTCTGAAAAGGTGGTTGACGCGATATTGCTATTTGGAGGCTAAATGGACGTCTTTGTTGTTGGTGCTGCGAGCTGTTGGTTATGCCAAGCGAAGGATGCTGGAAGCGAATCAGAACGCCTCGTTATTGGCAAACACTGAATGGGCGTTACCCACGGGCCACATGGAAGTGAACCCCCTCATCCAAGAATGCGGTTGTGGCTTCATTCTTTGTTCTCGGCACTGACAGCATATAAGCCCGAGCATACAAGACTATCCTTAAGAACTGATCAAGATCACTGCTTCGCTTCTTTTACTTTTTCCGAACAGGCGAGCAAATCCAAAGATGCCTTCGAATCAGTATATTCTGTTGCAAAACGCTACTCTTCTTGTTCCAAAGGGTCCTGAAGATGATCATGTCATTCCACTCAAGAACCATTCGTTGCTGATCGAGGGCAACAAAATTGCTCGTATCGCGCCGCAAATTGACCCCCCATCCGAGTCAACGGAGGTCATTGATTGCTCGGCAAAGATTATCTCACCAGGATTTGTTGACACTCACCACCATGTTTGGCAGACTCAGCTCAAAGGACGGCACGCTGATCATTCGCTGTTGGAGTACATGGTACCAGGTTGGTGATGTTTGATCGACTCAGGAGACAGGGTGCTAAAACTACATGTACCAGGAAATATGGCATCACATAGCTACAAACCCGAAGATGTGTTCTGGGGCCAGCTCGGGGGGTGCCTTGAAGCCCTCGAGGCTGGGACGACTACAATTGTAGATCACGCCCATATCTCATACACTCCCGAGCACAGTGAGTATCCTGAGATCATATCTTGGCAAAAAGCTTGTGACTGACCGTGATTCCAAGACAATGCAGCTCTCTCAGCAACAATATCATCTGGTATCAGGTCTATCTACTGTTACTGCCCTACCGGAAAGGTCAAGACTTGGAAGCCGTTCGAAATGGAGGAAGAATTACTTCCAGCCTGGCTATTCCAGCAGTTAACTTCACTGTGTAATACAGGCCCGTTCGCCAACGGTCGGGTGACAATGGGCTTCGCGTTCGACTCCTTCTACCTTCCAAAAGATGTAGTTGTCAACATTTTCAACCAAGTTCGTGGCTTGGGCATCAAGACTATAACTTCTCACTATGTTCCAAGCCTTCTCCGTAAGTTTACATGCATCCTGTCCTCTCCATATGTCCTCTTGCTGATGCGAATAAACTACAGCGGGCTCAACCGTAGACTTACTCGAGAGCTATGGACTTCTGGAGAAGGACATTCTTCTTTCTCACGCAAACCCATTGAACGACTCGGACGCACAGAAACTACAAAGGGTCGGAGCATCAATCGCCTCGACTCCAGACACTGAGCTGCAGATGGGTCATGGCTGGCCTGTTTGCTTTCAGGAAAATGCCAGGTCAATTAGCTCGCTCGGCATCGACTGCCATAGCAACAACACAGGTAGTATCGTCGCCCAGATGAAGGTTGGTCTCCAGACTGAACGTGCTCGCCGCAATGGCCGAATCCACGAAGCAGGCAAGATCCCTGCCAAAGTTCAGGTCTCTGCTCAAGATGCATTCCAGCTTGGCACAATTGGCGGCGCAAGAGCTATCAAGATGAGCGATCAAATTGGATCTCTGGAGGAGGACAAAATTGCCGATCTTGTCATCTGGGATACGTTGAGCCCTGCGATGATCTGTGCTGCTGAGGAAGATCCGATCGGTGCTATCATTTTGCACTCCGCTCCTTCTGACATTGATGCTGTCATTGTTGATGGCCAATTCAGAAAGCGAATTGGACAGCTTGTAACCACTAAGCTGGAGTTGGAACTAATGCCCAATATGAAGCACGAGAAGTCCGAAGTGCAGTGGCGTGATGTTGCAACCGAGCTTTTGAAGAGTCGTCAGCGCATCTTGGAAACGGAGAAAGCTAGTGGAGCTGATGATCGAGAGGCAGGGTTCGAGAACATAGTAAGAATATTCGGGACTGATAAGGATAAGCTGGTTTATTAAATAAGTGGTGGTTCAAGATTGTTAGCTAGCTAAAGAAGAGAATGATTCCGAATATCCTCAAAATATTGATCCTAGTGCTGCAACATTTTCTGAACGTGGTCCCAATATCTCGGCGCAGCATGTCGTCGCAGACTCTTGCCCTTCCAAATCATGAACAAAAAAGTGCTAGTACATCCAAGAGAGAGGAAGCCCGCCATAATAAAACAATTCTGCAGACCCATATTTACATACCAAGGCGTGATTCCGTACGAGATGGCAAAGCCCAATGTGTTGCGAATAATAATGATGGAAGTAGTGGTGTCGCCGCTAATGTCCTTGAAACAATCGACGTTGTAAGACAAAGCGATTGAGCCGCCGGTAACGCAGCTGAAAGTGAGTACCATCAATCCAATTGCCAGACCGGCCCAGTGGATGTCGTTATCAGCGCCAACACCCCAAACAATGAGCCCGACGCAAGATAAGAAGGCCGACAAAGCCAACGGCCAGAGCCGCTGCTCGGGCTCTCGTACACCATTGTTTCTTCGAGCAAGGGAGAGAGTAAGGCGATCGGCAATGACACCAGCCCATAGACATCCAAGGACAGCGCCGATGATAGGGCCTACATAGATCAAGCCGACCATACTGGTAGACCAGTTGTACGGAGACGCGCTGAGGATGGGGCTAGTAGTGGCGTTCAGGACATTGTACCAACAAAGATTAATGCCGTAGATGAACCCCGCCCAGGCGACATTGGGGAAGAGGACCATGAGTGGCAGAGGAGCCAACATGGACTTGAACATGTTTGCTTTGGTTGGGCGACCGTCCTTTCTAGCAAAGAGCTTGAGATGAGTGGCGAGACTCTTCTTTGTGTGTACAGTGCCATGGAGTTGATCACTGTTGGCGATAGCGCCAGCACTCTCCATCTTTTCAGGTCTTTCGGTGTTGTTCTGTGTAGAGCCAACGTCATTCTCGGCTTGACCCTTCACAGATTCATCCCTGTCCTCAAGACCCTCAAAAGTCGGGCGAAAATAGATCGTTTCCTCCATAAAGAAGAAGAGGATAACAAAGCTGAATGCGGCGAAAATGGCACCGAAGTGCATGGTCCACCGCCAACCGTACGCATCGGCGAAGAAGCCAGCAACCACTGGTGCTAAGAAATTGGAGCCGAACAGAACAAAGACATATAAACTCATCCACGTTCCTCTCTCGTGTGCAAAGAAAATATCAGGAATACTGACTTCTGGAAGAGATTCGATAGGCGAGACGAAGAAGCCGAGGAGGATACGGTGAGCGTACCACTCGCCAGCCGATCGCGAATAAGCAGTCCAGACCATTAAAGGGACAGCAGCGATAGTAGAAAAGAGGTAAACACCTCGTCTTCCATACGTCAAGGCAATAGGCTGCCAGAACAGACAGCTCCATCCGAGAAAGAGGAACATGACACCAGTGCCTTGAACCAAGTCGGCGATGGAGATACCCGTGTCTTGAGAGATCTCTACAAGAACAGAGTACTGAAGAGTAGAGGGGAGACCAACGCCAAGAGTGTAGACGAATACCATGGCTGCCGATATGAGCTTGCGACGTCTGCTCCAATTGAGGGGATCTTCCGGGTCGTCGCTGGGACGAGGGACAAGTTCAATGTCATTGCCGTCGCTGCGACCAGCATCGACGAGATGGACTGTGCCGGGGACGACTTCAGAGTAGGCCTGAGCCATTGCGTGGATGATAATATGGCGATGAGGTTACAAAGTGTGAAAGGAGATGTTGTTCTCTACTGCTAATTGATACCAGAGCCCGGATATATATGCATGTGGTATGATAGGCACACTGCTTAATCTCAACCTATCACGATCCACTCCCCCAAAAGATCGGTATCAGTGCTCGGACGTAAGGAGCGCTTCCGGCAACGATCCCTCACGCGGCAGTTCCAGCCTTGATAAAAGCCACTGATGAACACCTTATCACTTCTGGATTAGACCTCAACCGTCTAGGTTATCTCCGTCCTAGTCGCAGAAGCGAAACGCGGGGTAAAGCATGATAACCGCGCTGGCATGGCGTACGTGGAGATTACCGCTATCTCGGATTGTGAACTACCGATGCTTCACCAGATAACAATAGGTCTAATGCAAATCGCTTACGGCAAGAGTTGACGAAACGGGAAAGTCTATGAGACCGCGATCATGAACATCATGCGGGGAACTTGATGGGTGGCTAAGCTGATCCGCGGTAATACATCTCATTGGTTGCCGTGAAGCTAGGCATCATTCCAAGACGAGAGATCGGCAGGGATCCTTATCATGGTTCGTGAAGCACTGAAGACGTCAGAGCGGTTGGATAAAATGGGGGGCTTGATTGCTCGTGTTGGTATTGCCAGCTTCTACCGCTCAGCTCGGCATGATGAAAACTCCGCGATTACGTATATAAACGCAGCCTGTCATGACACCCTCTACAGCATTGTAACCCTTATCTGTCATCTAATCAGGAGGTCTTTTTCATCATGTCATCCAAGATTGTCCCCGTCATTCAACCAGTCCCTCTACAAACTGGTCCGCCAGAGTATGAAGCTCTGCGGACATCCATCCTCGAAGAGTTCGGCAGTACTGTGCCAGAAGAACTCCGTCTTCCAAAACGCCTCATCGACAATCCTCCCAAGAACGTAACCGACATCCCCAAAACCTGTGGTATCTTGACCGATCAAGAAATCGACATCACAGAGAACTACGACGCTACAGCACTTGCAGCTGCAATCGCATCACGAAAATTTACATCCGTCGCTGTCGTCACTGCCTTTGCGAAAAGAGCTATTATCGCTCATCAGCTTACATGCTGCCTGACACAATGGTGGTTCGAAAAGGCGGTTTTGACTGCCCAGTTGCTTGACCAATATCAAAACAACGCTGGAATGACCTGCGGTCCTTTACATGGCGTTCCAGTCAGTATTAAGGAACACATGCCGGCCAGTAACCATTGGTCCAATGTTGGGTACTTGGCGACTCGAAAATTTGACACGGAGGATTGTCAGATGGTTAAGATTCTCAGGGATGCGGGTGCTGTTCTGTTCTGCAAGACGAACCAACCCCAGTCAATCATGCATCTTGAGACAACATCGCCTTGGGGAAGAACCTTGAATCCCCACAACATCAACCTATCGGCTGGTGGGTCCACGGGTGGCGAAGCTGCTCTTATCGCTCTCCGAGGTTCAGTTTTAGGCATTGGTACGGATATTGGAGGAAGTGTTCGTGGACCAGCTGGCTTCTGCGGTATCTATGGTCTCAAGACGACATCCTACGTTTTCCCTCAGAAAGACTTCTTACCAGGTGGTTTTGCCGCTGAACTGAATGTCTTATGCTCGGCTGGGCCAATGTGCACCTCACTTCGTGACGTTGACCTGCTCATGTCGATCGTCTCTAGTTCTCGTCCTTGGCTCAAAGACCCTCGACTTGTTCCTCTTCATTGGACGGGACGGTTGACGGAAAACAAGCCGTTGAAGATTGGACTCATGATCAGTGACGGGGTCATCACTCCACAGCCTCCTGTGACAAGAGCTCTTGAGTGGGCAGCCCGGGAGCTCCGATCTAGAGGGTTCGATGTGAAACCCTTCCAACCCTACGGGATGGCAGAAGCGATGAATGGTATTCGCCGTGCGTACTGGCCTGACGGAGGCAAAACAGTCAAAGAGTATCTCGCAGCCACGAACGAACCCATGAACACCTTGACTCAATGGATCATTCGAGACGCTGAAGGTCCCGGACTGGATGCCAATGGCGTCCTCAAGCTTCGTGTAGAGCGCGATGATTTTAGATGCCGTTTCGCAGAGCACTGGGAGTCAGAAGACGTGGACTTTGTAATTTGCCCTGTATTTGTTGGCCCGGCGTGTTCTCACGAGACAGCGCTCTACTGGAATTACACCGCGCTCTGGAACTACGTTGACTACCCCGGCATTGTTATTCCGACACCTATCAAGGCCGGGGCGAGAGGAACTGAGAACTATCCACCGAATAGTACTCCTCTAAGTAAGGAAGAGGAACAGGTCAGAAAATTCTGGGCTGATGGTGATTTTGAGGGAGCGCCTATCAATTTGCAGGTGGTTGCGAGGAAATATCATGACAATGATCTTTTCGCGGCGGTGACGGAGATTGACAAGGTCATAAATAAGCAATAATTGGATTATTTATTGGACCTTTGAAACATGAGATGTGATTGGTAGATGAGTGGCCAACCAGAGTGATAAGCACATATGTGCGGTCAGCACGCACCACAGCGTTTTAGGAGGGAAAGAAAACCAAAAACCTTCATCGCAGATAACAAAAAGATGGAGATAATCTAGTCTAAGTTTATCATAAGTTTAGTTACCTCTTGCTGGGTTTTTTTCCTTTTTTTTGCATCCCATATCACAGCCGATGTTTTCTTGCTCCCCGACGGCTGTTGACTGAGGAGACTTTCGCTATTTCGAAGGCCAAGTATTATCCTTGATTGATTTGGGCGACTGCAAACTAATTACCTACTAATCGGAGCCATATACAGCCATCAATGATCTAACAATCTTATCATTAAACTCTAAAAAATGCTTGGATCTACGCCCACGGACCGGCCTTCCAAGGTTGAGCCAGGCCCATCGGAACGGCTTCAGTATTCTCACAACTACCCACCACCAAACAACCCTCCTGGGGTCAACCACTTACATGTGCCGGCTTATGGCACACCTCCACAAGTTGCACACTATCCGCCTCCGCCTTTGAATCCGCCCCCTGCCCCTTCTACGGCTCATGTATATCGTCCTTCTGAACCCTCACCTTATGGGTTGGACCCAGGGGTTGCGTCTACGACTAGACTGAGAACCTCGATTGCCTGTAGATATTGCCGCAAGCGAAAGGTTTGTCTAATCATGAGACCAAGTTCATTCTGCACAGTAGTAAGTTACTAATACCTCGCAGATCAGATGTAGTGGTAAAGACAGTGCACTTGGCAGTAAATGCCAAAATTGCTCAGGGATGAACCAGGAATGCATATTCTCAGACATCAAACCGGCGTCAGCCTTTGATCCTGATATTGCCTGCGGGTTTGTTTTACCGAGGGATGGGGTTAATGGTTCTCTCGGAGAACCCTCCATCCAAACACAAGACCAGAATCGCGATATCGGTAGCTCTGGATACGGATCCTATCCAAGTTTGTCGGAGTATTATTATCCTCAGTACTATCACCCTCCTCCACGAGATGATTATGGCTATGGTCCGAGACCATACTACGACCAAGGGCAAGACGACGAGGACTCGCTTAAAGCCTACCCCACATGGGCAAAGCATCTTCAGGAACTTACTTCCAGTTTAAGTGATAACCAAACCAGTGTCTTCCTTGATCTAGACAACGAAGCTTTTGATTATACCGTCTCTGTTGTGCCCATCAATTCAGTGTCAACGGTTGGTGGTCATGATGTTTCGGAGACTAGGAAAAGCCACAATGCTACGAGTCCAGAAAGGTCTGTTCAGACACTGCAAGATCATAGGCAGCAGGCTGCATTGGCCATTCCGAGTTTTCCACCTCCTCAAGGCCTTAAGCGTCGACCTCTGGCAGCCTTACCTGAGATACTACAGGATCAAGACCGGGAATCCCTTAAATTGGGAGAAGTCTCTGGCACTGGCCTTGGAACGAAGTTGACAACGCGAGTTGAGGCCTCAAAGGAATCTATCGAGCTTCCGGATCCAGCAAAGTTGAGCATAAGATCCCCCACCACTTCATCATCTCCAACTGTATCATCCAATATAGACGTGGACTCAATATCTGGAGATTCCGAAGGTCAGTTTGATGGGAACAGCCTGGAGTACTGCCTCTTCAGCCGAGTTTTCTGCCGTTTAGCGATTCTTAGTCAGGGTGAGACGACGGTAAGAGGGAAATCGAACAGCAGCGGTTCAAAAGGAAAGCAAGTTGCAAAGAGTGGCTCTGCAAGCTCTTCTACAACCAGAGATACAGCGAGCACTACAGGGGAATGGAAGAATCGACGGCAAGGCGACGACAATGGTGATGAAAGCAAAGATAGACAGAACGAGCCCCCTAAGAAGAGAGGCAAGACAAGTCAATCCCACTGTGACGAACGATCGCAGTTTCTAGCATGCCCATACTGGAAGGCGGATTCGAGAAAGTATTGGGATTGCTTCCTCAAGAAGAACGACACAATCGCACACTTGAAGCAACATCTGACGCGCCGTCATACACCCAAGTATTACTGTCAAATATGCTACCAAACCTTTAGAGACTTTGACCTTTTTGACTCACACGCGCTAGAGAGATCGTGCACAAGAGGTCCCTCTGCGAAACTGGAAGGTATATCTCAGAAGCAAAAGAATCAGCTTTCTCTAAAGAGCAAGGGATCTGTTGAACAACAGTGGTATACCGTATGGTCGATCCTCTTTCCTGATATGGAACCCCCTGCTACGATATACATTTATTCGACACAATCCGAAGACTTTTGCCGGATTCAGGAGTTTGCGCAACGAGAGGGAGTGGCCATTATGCTAGATGAGCTGGAGTCTAATGGACTTGTGGTCCGACCGGATGCATCCAACCAACTGCTCCGATCGACCGTCCAGAGAGCTATGGTGTCGATCTTCAGAAGCTACTCCGTCAGGCGCGAACCGAGCTCCGAAGCAGAAGAGCCGATCGTCATCCAAGATTTGCAACCAGATAATGAAGCATCATTTCAGCAAGAACCAACTACTGGAAGTCAAATTGGTCATGGGAATCTTCCCACCACATCCGCTGATGTGAACTGGATAGTGGACGAAGGTATGGACGATGCTGGAATTGAGAGGCTAAGTAGACCAAGCATAAGTACATGGTCACAATTACCAACCGCGACTTCATGGCTTCCCAGAGGGGTTGTGCAGGATAACACCGAGGATGAGTCATGGGGACCAGCTTTTCCTGATGAGCCAGCATTTGGGGAAAGTTCGTCAGGAAACGATCTACCTTTCAACTTTGAGAGCTCAGACATGTTAGACTTGGATGCCTTATTGCGAGATGTGATAAGTACCGAAGCATAGTCAAGGTACGATGGCGAATAAGTAGGATGGTTTTGACCTGAACAAATATCGCACATTACACCCACTAATACACGCATAACAACTTCCGCCAAAGTTAAGAGGGGTTTGATTAATGTGAATTTGCATATAATGAGCCAAAATATCATTATTTGTGTATAATCTATTGTCCTTGAACATCAATATCACACCGTCCTGCTTTGGGAACTATGAAGAACTCGCCGACCTGCGTCATCATCTCATTCGTCATGCCACGATGTAACCTTAAGCCTCTACACTCACGAAAAAGCATTGCCAAAGTGACAAGGATCTCCATCCGAGCCACATGCATCCCGACACATCTTCTGGCACCGATGTTAAAAGGGACATGTGCTCGTTTCATTTCTGGGGTTGGATTCAGGAACCTGGTGGCCTCAAATCTTTTCAAGTCAGCAATTGCGCTCAAAACTTCTAAGGTAGAAATCACGTACCTATCCGGCTCGGGAAAGACATCTTCAAGCCGGGAAATGAGCCATCCAGTCGTGTAGACCATTGTACCTCCAGGGATTTCCCAGTCATGAACCGAGATTCCACTTGGAGGTACAATTCTCTCTACCAGTGCTGCTGCAGGATTGTACATTCTGAGGACCTCTTCCAAGACACTGTTCAAGAGGGGGAGAGCCTCAACATCCTTCGCCGTGAAGCCCATGGGCAGACTGATGACCTCCTCTTCGATCTGTCTCCGGAGCTCAGGATCTCTAACGATCTCCCATGTCGCATATGTTAAAGTAGTAGCTGTACTATCCGAACCCGCAACAAGAAGCATGCTAACCTCAGAGCTCAACTCATCATCGTTCAAGCTGGGTTTCTTGCCCTTAACCTCGTGACTCAATAAGTGACGGGCGATACTCGGGCCGCAATTTGACGAAACCCTCAGCTCCCCGAGGGCTGCTGTTACTCGGTTGAAGATGGTTTCAGTAACTTGACCAACTTCCCTCAGCCAAGTGATAGGAGACCATTTGAATAAAGATATGAGTCTGCGGGGGAGTACTGCTTGAAAGACAACAGAAGGACCAGCATTGCTCAAGGCCGTATAAAGGGGCAGCCCTTTCCCACCCGAACGTAACAAGTTGAAGGATTTGCCAAAAGACATCTCGCTGACGACATCAACCGCCAAGCAGCGCCACCATTTGTAGACGTCGGTTTGGCCTTTCTCGGCCTCATTCTTGATATTGGCTACCGCCTGACTAGCCAAGCCCTGAATCTTTACTTCCTGTTCTTCCTTTATTGACGCAAAACCTCTGCCTATGATCCGTTTGCGTTCAGAGTGGATACGGGGATCTCGCATGGTGAAGAGCATAGACGAGTGGCTGAAGCGGATATGGTCAAAGACAGGTGCTTTCAAGCAATGGCTACCCACACCGTGTACTTTGTAGTAGCCATCGACGCTGTTAATCGAAACCTCCTTGGGTCCAACTCTGACTACTGGACCGTGAGCTTTGTGAAGATGGCGAAGATGCTGGCGACTGGTTCCGACTGCCCTTGTGTATAGCAACGGAAGACCAGTGAAGTGGGTGTACCATGGTCCAGGGAGGCGTGAAAGTGGACCACAGTAGTAGTTAAACGTAGCTCTAAGCACAAAAGCTAAGAGAATAACTGAGAGGACAGGTATAATGGAGAGAATCATTGCTTCAACCAAAGGTTGTAGTGCTTGTCGTCAACTAAATCGTATAGAATCATGCCGATCTGTGGATCTAGGCTACTTTATGTACAACAACACTCTCTTATTCTAGTCCACTATCCATGCTCCAAAATTTCACCAAGATATCCTCAAGTCTGGAACAGCTTCTAATCTTTGGGGGCTGACTAGCTCAGCCCTGAGAGTCAAGGGTGAAATCCCATAAGCGCCGCTGAATAAAGCAATTCTGTCATGATACCCGCGATGTCACTTATCTCATGCACGATCGGGGTCTAAATTGCCAGCTGGCATGGTATCATGTGTACTATTTTAGTGCCTTGCGGACGGGCCAGGCCGCGTCTACTGGGTCTTCTTCACATGTCAGGATCTCACAACGCTTGGTATACTGACTCGAATGGGCATCTGAAACCTATAAGCCACTATGTAGTACAAGAATAGCCACTGAAGATGAGGGAATTTCTATCAGCCTTCTAGAAAGGGTAGTACACGGAAGAAATCGATGATGTTGTTACTCCTTCCGGCTTGTATTCCGGATCCACTTTCTTTCTGCATGATACCTTGCAAATATTGGTTAATGCCCTACAGCCGCATATGCACTGCGCCTTGTAAGCCTTACGAATACCACTCAAGTCCAAAAGTGGCCGAGATATCCGAAACGGTTGAACTTTGAGGGCTTTTTTATCAGCCATATCCTGGGTCATGCAGATGTTAAGGGGTCACTTTACGGGCGCTTAGTCAAAAGCCTTATGACCCCTGCTGCATTGGTCTCGCATAGGCACAGTCATCATTGGCTTCGTTGGGCTACTTCAGGTAATGATGCTCCGCCACGTGGTACGGAAGAGTCGAGATGCCGCAGAGTAAAATCTCTTCTGAAGACTTGTGTGTGGTTTAACAAGATGACATGTGAAACCATCTATGTGACCTGCGATCTCAGCCGCAGCTGTCTTATCATCGGAGACCCTTTGAACTGGAAATCGGTAGATAATAACACAATCAGTTCGCAATATTCTTATCAGGTCTCTTGTATCATTTCACTTCAATGCACCATCTGCTGCAAGCCTGGTAACAACAGCTGAAAGCTTTTGTTCAAATCACGACAGCACAATGCGAGACTATTCAGAAACCCGCCAACAGCGCTTACGTTTTACGCAAGTGCAGTTTTCTCCCCATTCTTGGATCATTCACTGCTTTTTGCTTGAGCCCGCTCATGTAAGAGAACGGGGGCGAATCTGCAGGAGACACGAGCTATTTTCGCTCCACCGGAAAAATAAGCACTAAATCTGGTACGCGATGATACCCTTGCAAATGGCACCCAACCTTGCTGCGATCTTATCAGTACCTCTGAGGCTGAGCATTTATCGTGGACTTTGGGGTCCGGGTGAAAATTTGCTGCCGCAGGTGGTTATTAATAGATATCGCTGTAGGATCTTATTCATAGCGTGCAACGTCTGATATAATTGCGATATCCTGCGAACCGCCATCTTCGTAGCTTCATTTCCTGAAACTCATCCGAGTTTGAACATGCCGTACACTAGGACAAGCAACTCGCCTACACAGGCTAGCCCAACGAAGATCTTCTTACATGGTCTTGGGGCACTCTCCTTTTCTTATAGCTTTTACCTCTTGACAACATGGGACTCAGCATACTCTGATTCTTTCGGATGGTACTTTCAGCTTCTCACGGTTGTGGGACTCACCTTATCTCTTATCACATCTAGCTTTGGCCTCGTCGCAGATCTTACGAGACACGATGGCTTCTCAAGGACCAAAGATACCATCTCACTCCTTGCGACGCCTCTCGAAGTCATGATTGCTGTCCTATACTGGTCTATCAAATTCCACGACCCATCATTACTCATGCCAGCCGACCTTGTCATCAATCCTTGGGCTGACCTTGGATACCACCTGGTACCTGCGGTGCTGTTAGTACCGGACTTGCTGTTGTACAGTCCCCGAGCGACTATTACAACGAGGAGCATGATGGTCACCAGTACCATTTTAGCTGTTGTTTATTGGTGCTGGATTGAGTTGTGTTATTACCAAAATGGCTGGTAGGCATAGCTGTCACATATAATCTGGTTCACCAGCTAACAATTATAGGTATCCTTATCCCATGATGGATCAGTTCAGTGCCATTCAGCGGGTTGCAGTCTTCGTTGGGTCATCAGGTTTACTGACGTTGACATCGTCTTCTCTTCAATGGGTACACGGCAAGGTGCACAGTCTTGATGTGACGAAGGTCAAACCGAACTGAAAATGTCAACACTTTAAGGTCAGGTCACTGCGGACTCGGAATGAGGGAATAAGACAGAGAGGGATTTCCGTTCCAGCTTGCGGTGTTCAATGTGGTGAGTCAGTGCGCTGGAAGATTAGGGTTTTACAGGGAAATTGGCCAATGGACACATGAAGTTTTGTGTCTTAAGACCCAGTGAATCAGTCTAACTAGTTCACCATATCGAAGAGTTCAAACCTGCAGATATATCAATTTTACAAGACAAAATTCCTCTTGTGAAGCACTGAGGTGAAGTAGCACTGAAAGAGCGAAAGCATGGCCAAAGTAAACAATAACAACACCATACAGGACACCAGCACAACACAATCTCGGCATATTCTTATCCGTCCCTCATCAACCTCTAAGGCAGGAGTCATATCTTGAAGCCTCAATTGGCCTGACGAGGTAAAGCGCATAGCAGGTCTCATCCCTCAGCCAGATCCAGCCACTTCACCTGGCCGATGTAGCCCTGGGTTTTATGTTGATATCTATACATAGTAATATCATGCCATCTGGGAAGAGAAACCAGTTAGCAAGTCTAAGTCCATGTTCCAATCGACCGAAGCCCCAATATCCAAGAGATCATCGCCAATATCGAGGAGTCCTTCTGTCTGGCACCATTCAAAAAGATTATTATGATGCCAATCAGGAGTCTCATCGATGCTCTGAGTTACATGCTCCATGGCCCTATCTGTAACCCCAAAATGGGCATTCGTGAAGGCTCTCGCGGAATCCTGGGCACTTGGATACTCTGGAGACTCGATATACGTGGTTGTGATGACATCTTCCTCCCGTGCCGGACTATTGACTCCAGTCATCGGGACTTCAATACCCCTTGAATCAGCCCCAGCGGCATTTTGATCGATGAGATCGACAGGTCCCAATATTTGAGCAGCAGCATGCTGCAGGCTCCGAGTCTATGGATGTATGTCAGGGTATTCTCATGGACAAGTCAGTTGTTAGGTCGACTTACCATTGGTTCTAAATGCTCCCAGAAAGTCTCGAGAATACTGAGTATATCGATACTATCCTGAATCAGTGTCACAAGCGCCTGTGAAACATGATCCCGTGTATGTCCATCGTCATGATGTCGGCGAGCCCGGGATCTCAAGAGTGTGAGGATGATTGAGGTCGACACAAAGCTGGCAAAGCCGACATGTGAACTGAGCTTAGATAGATCCTGCCGTTTGGCAATGTAGTCCCGAATCAGATGCCCGTGGTGAATCGCATGCTTCGCGATTGTTTGCGCATGGCTCTGGGTCCTCCCACCCACGATAGCCCTTTGGCCAGAGAAAAGAGACACCAGGGGGCAGAGAAGAACTATTTGGCAAAGATGGTATAACGAGTGCAGTCCCAGCAACCGTGCAATATCACGACCGGCACCCTCGTTACCCGCAACGTAATGAGGAAAGTGGCTCGATTCATAAATGTCTTTGGCCAAGCTGGACAAATGTAGGATATGAGTGACGTCTGGACTTTCCCGCTTGTCTCTGTTTATGAGCTGAATTTTAACCCTAGACAACGAATGGAGCATTAGTGGCGCTATTGAAGCTTGTGACTGGGAACTTACCAAACCCCCATGAGCCTCATGTGTTCTGCCATTATTGATGGAGGATTCGGCTCTTCTATGAGCGCTTCCGACTTCCATTCGACATTCATGCAATACCGTCGCGCATCATTTCCTTCACTAGCAAAGACATCTGATGCAACGGGAAGTGGCACGTTACAAGCTTCCTCCCAGGCATTCTTCGCATATGCTTCTGGAAAGGAAGAGATACACATTGTTGACCAGCATGCCCAAAAACAACCATGTTTTCTTTCTATAAGCTGCAGCTCATCCTTTGTCCTTGTACCATTGTCTGGGATATTGAAGGAGCGAAATGTAGTAGCTGAGGCATAGGCCATAACTAGTTTGAGGCATGTTTAGCTGAGAGGACTCAACGTTCTAATGGCAGATTGTCGCACATACCAGCGTTTATACGAGCTCGACCTAAGTCTCTTGTCGCAAACCAGTACAGGTTGAGACATGAAAGTGCTTGAACTACTTGGACGGTTGGTCGATCTGTGAGGAGCCAAGCCTCGCGTCTTGCTGACTCGGCCCAGGCATCCCCATAACCAGCATATGTAGTAAATGCTGCCAGCTCTGGAGAGACAGCATGACTACCGAGTCTAGGTGGTTGAAATCGTGGTTTACGAAGAAATCTTTGACAATGTTAGTATCATAGGACGGCTTTTGAAGAAGATGCCTACAATGACGACAGGGCAAATATGCTCCTTAATAGATATGGGGGTATACTACCATCCAAGTAAGACTCAAAGAGCTGGGTGCGATTAAAAAGCAATGTAGCGTTGTATAACCGTTCAAAGTATATATCTAAGAGCGCGAGGCCAATAGCTCGTGGCGGTAGATCGTCTAGGCCAGGATCAGCAAATCTTGAGACTCCATGTTCTGTCGGTAGTGGCCCAGCGCCAACTTGGCCAACACTGTGGATTCTCGGAGTTACTGAAGGACTTGTAACTGCGCCAACGTTGAGCTCTGTCGACTCTGGAGTCACTGGAGCTGCATCAGAGACAGGTCGGATCCGCTCGGTCCGTACGGAATCGCGACGAGCTGTGAGACGTCTCCGATCGGCCAACTCAGGATAGGTGCAGGTGACTGAGAAGCGGCTACATCGCGTGCAGGTTGGACGTTGACGACTGCAACGAAGCTGTCGGCCCGAGTGTCAGCAGTTGGCGTTTTGGGAGAGGACTTGGCGAACCTTCTGTCTACGACATCTCTCGCAAGCTGTACGTGAGAGGGAGCTTTCAGACCCTGGACGCGGGGAGTCAGTGTCTGCTGCGCTCATCTTATCTGCAGGCAAAGATTAATCGCGCTTGTTGATGACCAGAGAGGCGTTGGTGATAAATCGGGATTTCGGTTGTCCAAAACTATTTCGGACCGAAAGTTGCCCCGCAAAAGGTTGCTCTTATTCCCGTAGACATCCCCGAAGGCTTCAGTCATTCTCCCGCTCAGTATGGGAGAAGCTCAAGGAACTGGTGATATTTATTGCTCAGACTAATCATGATTCTTCTTCAGTGGCACTAACATGTCTAATTTGAGCTTTAATAGACTAGGATGATTGATCTTCATCTCCTTCACAAATCCATATTCCTAGCTCCTGCGCATGAATAGCAGCCGGTTCAAACAGTGGAATATCCCCAACATCTTCTTGCCTCAGCACAAAACCCAAATCTGTACTACCCAGTATAATGCCTTGGGCTCCTCTGTCAATGAGCTTCTTGGCTTGTTGAACGAACATATTTTTTGTTGAGTCTGTCACAGACGCAACACCCCTCGCCACTTCTTGAAGCATGCCTCTGTTAACCTCCTCAATGTCCTCAGGTGTTTCCGGGATCAGGATCTCGAAGCCAGCCTTTTGTAACATGGCTACAAAGAAATCAGGATCATCAGAATCGAGCATCGAAATTTTGGGACCGAGCAGGCCAAGCTTCTTCGCCGATGGATGATTGTTGGTAATGTGCAGCGCGAGACAGTCCGCGATGTGAAACAGCGGGACACGAGCCGCTGAGGAGTCATCAAATAGCTTTTGGGCAACCTTGTGAGCGAGAATGGCACAGATCGCAATGCCTTCAACTCTATCGCTCAAGGATCTGATTGGTTTCTTGTAGACTTTTGCGAACTCGTCCCAGTCCCCTTTCATGGCATGCTGGATCATTTCTTCGAGGTTGGCGCTGTACAGATATAAGGGGGCTGATGCTCGATCACCGAGTTTCAATCTGGCAACTTTGTTGATAATGCTGTAGTAGAGTGCTGTGACGTCTGGTGTCATGCCTCCAAGCAATAGAAGAGTCCTCATCTTGACTGCAGTAAATGTTCACTGGTGGGATGTCCGAGGAGAGAGACGAGCAACAAGCAATGTGAGGAGCTGTAGCAATTTATGACTCAAGTAGCAACATGACAGTGCAAGGGCGTAAATGTGGGTACATGATGCTGACGTCAATCTCACAACCTCGCTCATTGATCAAGACCCCCAGTATAAACACTCTCATGTTTAAATTGTGCACAAAAAAAAGCCAAATGACTTTCTCCCTATTTCTTCTAACGCATTTCGAACGTCTATAGTGAACATTTCCTATACGAGAACCATTTATCATTAGAAACAAGATTCTCCCAAGAACTCAGCATCTTTGATGGCTTACAAAGCTTTTTCGACAATGGCTATGCAATCAATCTCGACCTGACAACTTTGACTGAGTGCCCTTTCTATTGTTGATGGGTGGTACCTTGGCGCTTATAACCAGTTCTGAAGCTGTCAAACAGACCCGAGCAGGCTTGGGGTTGGGGATCGTCGCAATATCAATGGCAGCGTCAGCGCTCCTCATCATGATGTTTGAACATGACACATACAAATGGCATTCATGGCCGCAAAGTCGTTGATGTTTGTTAAGTAGATGTTGCACGGCAATCGAATCAATATCGACACTTATCCCAGGCCAGGAGTTAACATTACCTTGAGAATCCTATCAAGCCCACTTCCTTCTTGATGGAGAACAGACTCCAGTGGTCCAAATACTGCTTTCTGTGGATCCCCAGAGCTCGTCTTGAGAGTCGGGTGCTTGATGATTCACCGTTTGTTCAACAACATCCTCCGATACAAGTACACCAGTATTGGCATCAACACCAATTTTGCCACTTGTATACACAAGACCGTGATGGATAAGAGCTTCTGAACTTTGGCATTATAGCAATGATTTTCTATCGACCAACCCGCTTCCAGGCTTGCCTCCGTTTGCGGGGTATGCCATAACTTCAAAAGTGCTCCCTGTGACTTCGTGTCATTTTTGAAGTTCATTTTTAGCAGGGGAATTCCTTGGCTGGCAATATTTTGGCAGATACCTTACCGAACCCAATAACACGATCTCCCGAGCCAGCCCATCCTTCCATAGTAACGGTATCACCGTCCTTCAACCAAACTAGTTCAGACTCATCGGGCAAGTTAAAAGGCCGAGTGCCGCCCAACACAAGCTCAGCCAAACATCCCGATCTACGAATTGGGTTATGATCACTTCCAAATTCTTTGATCTGCTCGCTGCTGGAAGAGAGGGTACCAGTACCAAGCAGATCACCTGTTTCCAGACCGCATCCAGAGCTACTGTGGTGGGCTATCATCTGAAATGGAGACCAGTGGAGGTGCTTAAGGTCGGATTTTCCGAGCAGAACTTCAGTCACTCCGTTTCCTGGTTCGTATGTTAAAAAATCTCCACTCTGGGATTTCGTGACGGTGTTGAGAACTTACGGGACAACGATGTAGAAACCTGAACTGCAACATCATCTGGACAATGAAGGAACGGAATGGCCGTGTTCTTCCCTCCTCTTAGACCTAGATCTTCAGTAGTTAAGAGTGCACCAGCCTCTTCCAACGCCTCAAGGGTCACAATCCAAGGCGAGATACTCGTTGCTGTAGCTTTACCATTAAACGGCCCTAATGGAGCCATCTCATAGAACTGGATATCTCTAGCACTCCAGTCATTCAGAAGTACAAACCCAAAGACATGATCATGAGCTCTAGACGCAGGAGTCGGTTCACCATACTTGATTGGATTGGAAATGAAAACCCCCATTTCGAGCTCAAAATCGAACTTTTGGCTGGGAGCATACGATGCACCATCAGGCCCGGGAATGATACCATGAGGTCTAGTAACGTTCTGGCCACTGACGATAACGGATGATGCTCTGCCATTGTATGCTGCCGGGAGATCGAAGAAGTTTTGAGGGACCTCACTATATCCAGCCATATGGCCCATCTATCATGTTCTGGTCAGATCTAAGTGTACTGCTGGTCAGGTGTGCTGGCTTACAGTCTGGACGTGTTCGAGTGAGCACATAAAGTCCGTGAAGCCGCCAATCTTCATTGGGACATGCATTGTAGCTTGGTCGGCAGCGATAACGCCGGTATCCTCTCGGTAGATTATGGAAGACTCATCTCGTAAAGCCTCTTGAATGGCCTTCCGAAGAGAGTTGCGTACATTAGGTGCGAGCGCTGCAAAAGCATTCAGTGACGGCTATCCAGTAGATATATTTGTTAATCGGGTTTAACATTGCTCGTCATAGTTCCATCATTACTAACCGATTCCAGTGCTTCTTTCACAGACTCATCTACGGGCAGTCCGCCCCGGATGAGGATTCTTAGGTCCAAAACATGGTCACCAACAGCGGTTCCCGGTCGCGGATCAAGCTATCGAGGGGTTAATATCAGAAAACAATCAGCTTCAGTGAGTCAAATATTTCCTCACATCATCCTCGGTATGAAATATACCGAACGGAATGTTGGAGATAGGGAATGGTGATCCCTTCGGTATCGGAAATGGATATTGAACCATTTTTGTTGATTCTGGCGACTCGATGTGATTTTGGGTGCACGCAACCCAGCACTGGCGTTAGTGGTGATGACGGGAAGAATCAGCTGAAGTCTACCAAGAAGGACATGCGGTGACCGTGGTTGAAAAGGACTATCGAAGGATTGAGCCTGAATTTATCCTGACAACTCATACAGTCTAGATGAAATCCACGTCATCTGAGGTAAGCCGGCGGAATCCCCTGTTGCGGAACGAAAACTCGGGATCTTGACTAAATGACAAAGAGATTTAGGTAACCTGGTATGAATTTAGCCTACGTTTGAGTGACCTTTTACTGACTTTATTTCGATAGCGCATGTCAAAGCCGATATTTAGTTGCTCCATGAGGGTCCCTCCAAGTCATGCATGATGTCTGTTCGGGCCGGCCGGAGTCTATGGGAGTGGAGCTTCGGACCTCGGATTCGGGGTTGGAGACGGGTCACGTTACGCCACCTCGTTGATAACCCTGCGCAGCTTATGGTAAGTCTAATCACATATATGAATAAAAATCCCAGTTTCAACAATTTCAAAATCATCAGCTCTTCTGACGAGTTCATATTCACCCGTCGTGTAACTCCTACAGGAATAGCTTCAAGATGTCTGATACTTCATCCCCAAGCTTCATCTGCATCAAGAACGCGACGGTCTTGACAATGGACCCACAGAATGGTACCCTTGCAAAGTCCGACATTCTCATCCAAGGTGACCGAATCGTTGCGATTGGACAGGCCCTTCCAAACCCCCCCGAAAGCAATGTCACCATTATCGATGGGCAAGGATGCATCGTTACCCCTGGCTTTGTCGATGGTCACCATCATATGTGGCAGCAACTTTTGCGGGGTGTTGCGACAGACTGGTCACTTTTTGACTACACTGTCAATATGCGGACTATTTATGGAAGCTTATACACACCTGAAGATGTCTACCTGTCTACTTATGTCGCAGCACTGAGTCTGATCAACAACGGTGTGACTTCAGTTCTCGAACACTGCCATATCATCAATTCGCCTGATCATGCTGACGCGGCTGTAAAGGCACTTCAAGATGCTGGGATCCGGGGAACGTTCTGTTATGGATTCTATGCCAACCCACCTTTGCCTGATCAACCTGATCCAGAAGGCTTCTCCCATGCATCACGGCTGAGCGATGCTGCCAGGATAAGAGACAAGTTCTTTGGTCAAAATGATCCAGTCGAGCAACTTCTCACGTTTGGCGTAGCTCCAGATGAGCCAGAATCTCTGTCCATCGAAGAGACCATTGCGCAGATCAAGCAGTCGAGAAAGCTCGGAGCACGTATAATCACCATGCATGTCGCGATGGGGCCCTATGACTTGGCACGACGTCAAGTTGTGCAGAATCTCGCAAATGAGGGTATCATGGGTCCAGACCTCGTATTCAGCCATGGCTCATCCTTCACCGAGAGTGAGCTTCTGGTAATCAAGGATTCGGGTGCTTCCATCGTCGGCACGCCAGATACAGAGTTGCAAATGGGTATGGGATTTCCTATTGTCTTCCAAGCTTCTGATCGAGGATGTCGCACATGTTTAGGTATAGATATTACTTCCAACCAGGGAAATGACTTCATCGCGCAGATGCGGCTCGCATTACAAGGTCGTCGAGCCCAGGAAAACGAACAAGGGTTTCCACTTTCCATCAAACGCAAGACGGCAGACGTTCTTCGAATGGGAACTTTGGGAGGTGCAGAGGTCATGAGAATGGAAGATCTCATCGGCTCCATTACCGTTAGGAAGAAAGCAGATCTTGTCCTCATCCGCAGTGATGATATTGAGAATATTCCTGCTGGCGACCCAATTGGTTCAGTGGTGTTTCATTCTTCAGTGAAAGACATTGATACTGTTATCATTGATGGCAAGATCAAGAAGCAGAACGGAAAGTTAGTCGCTGATTGGGAGAGGCTGAAAGAGGATGTCATTCTTCGTGCAGACCGTATCAAGAGGGAGGCTGCTAAGACTGATCTGACAGCAGCTAGGAAACTTTGGATGGATATCTTCCACGTTAAAGACATACCCGAATGAACAGTAATTGTTCGCTGAACTGCATTTTGGTACATTAAGATCCACAGCTTGCGTGAAGGCAATTTGATGTGAACCGAGGGATACTTAGGTGTTGCATGCATCGGCTCCAAGAGGTCAAGAAGGGGTGCATCTGCGCTGACCAAAGTACGTCGTAACGTATGCCTTGGACTCACGACCAAGATTCTTCTCATCGAACGTGTACTCGCAGTTGCGTGTGTTTCCGGATACAATCCTTCCAAGTCGCTGGTATTCATTGATGCCGCCATCTATATTTATTCGCATAACGACCGGCCATCGACAATCATACTATCGGCCAGGTCAGCTTGGGTTTAATATTGAGGACCGGACTCCATACCCTGCAGGACTTGTCCATTCGATCGAATCAAACCACTAATATGGCTCCATATCTTGCCGCTTCATTTTCTATTAGCCCATGGTCCTTTTCAAGTTCTTAAACGATGGCAAGCCCCTTACGCCACTTCCATCCGCAAGTTTAGGACCAATTGGTTTGTTATCTTCATATTACCAAATAACATGAACTCGAGCTCTTTCAGGATGTCATCTAACATGGTTGCGTGTGAGGACTAGGGGAAGCAAGAAAACTCAAGATTTTGACCCTCAGTGATGAGAATACCCAAGTCAACCTTAGATTAGGGTAAATCTACTAGATTTATCTCGGCATCCTTTTTTCAAGCCTTTAGGCTTCTTGCTCTCAAAAAATGGTCTGGTAGTGAGGATGGTGGTAATCAATAATCTAATGGGGGGGGGTTAAGCTTTCGTATTGTGCTATTGACTCGGCTTACAAAGATCAATGCTTGCCGATATGCGTAACCATCGAGCTTTCCATGGCCGGTTCCACAGCTGTGTCGACCGCCATGATTCGGAGCGTACAGACCAGACTAATCGGTTGTCGGTTCGTGAGACAGTAACGCAATATCTTACACCTGTGCCTGGACTGGCGGTCGACATCATGAAGCCAGAATCACGGAGTACTAATGATGTTGTGCACTTCGAGAGTCATTCACCGTGTCGGTAGGATTGAAAAGAATCTAATGCGAGTCTGGCAGCTCCATTCCTCCTTGGTCTTCACCTAATGCACGGCCATTGATCTCTACCGGCATCGCATGGAACAGGATGAACACAATCCTAGCCCACTGCTCAGTTCTGTTGAACCATTGGTGATTTGTACCCCTCTGGATCACAACATCCCCCGGGTGGATGGTCCGTGTCTCCCCTGAATCCAGCAGACATTCCAGCTCACCATTGATAAGGATGCCGTAGTCAAGACTAACGGTACGGTGCATCTGAGACTTTGAGCCTGGAGGAATATCACAATACCGCAAGATGCTACCGCCATGCTTCACCAACCCCGACTTCTGTTTGTTGGCATATGCCTCTTTAAACGTGGAAAGATCTTTGTTGTTTGCAAGCGGTATGGGTAATCCCTCGGTGACGTAGCCGAGCTCGAAGTCGGCAGAGTTTCCCTCGCCTGCGCTGACCTGCCAGAAATTCAGTGGCTCATCGAGGTCTTTGGAGTAACAGGATTTGCCGCTCGAGTCATGTGTTGTGATGAAGCGGTGAATGGAGGGAAGCGCTTTCGGAGGGTTGGAGTTTGAGGACATGGCGGATGGTTCTTCTTTGGGGTTAATTTGCTTCCTGGAGCATGTAGAACCGAGTAATATTAAATACCGTGCTTTATATCTCGTGTAGAATTCGGGATGTGGAGAGTAGTGTCCAGCTCGGGACCGTTCTTAGTGTTGTCCGAACCACGGCCCGATGTTGTTGACCTGACTGGGGGCGACAAAAGAGTCGGGCCGAGTGCTAACGATGACCATTCCCTCTTTATGGCCAAGACAAGTGTTGGCCTATCGGTGCGAGACTCTTGTCGTTGTACTTTCGGTCGTATTCCTGTACGTACTGACGGGCTCGCAATTTCTGGTGATCACAAAAGAATTTTCAGTCAAGTGACTTGGCTTTTGTCATGGCCGGTCGAGATTTCATCATCTCTGATTTTAAGTCGAGTGACAGTTGTCCAAGAGTGTCGGATCTGGCTTACTCGCTCCGCTACAACGTTTGATAGCCTCGTGTCATGTATGCTATGGCCTTTCGGCATAACTCGTCGGTCACCGCAATGGACGAGTCGGCAGCGGCAGTTGAAGCTGGGAAGCCAAGCTCTGTGGACAGCTTCAAGTCCAGCCACGGCTGGGCAGTTCGTCTGGGTATAGTTGTTGAATGATCGCTTCAAGGACGGGGAAGGTTTGCGATGGTAGTGTGTCGAAACCCGACTGACCCTCGAGAGCACGGCGTTTTCACAAACGCTGACTGTGATCCTGGCAGCCAAGTGTTCATCGGCGCTGGCAAGTATCAGCGAACTGCAATCACTTCCAAGAGGTTTTGCAAGATCGGGGATCGCGACGGAACAAGCTAAAGGAGTCCGAGAAGCTTCCTTGGTCTGGGACGTCGTTGGGCTTCATATCAGGTACGGACCCGAAGCCTGTCACACGATCAAAGACCGCGCAAGTCTTGGAGTATTTGTATCGAGACCATTCGCTTCTGGGCATGAAATTGCTTTGGCCAATATCGTGCAAGGTAATCTTTCGGCTCTGCGGTATCCGTGGACGGGTACGGTGTCTTCGTGGCTTGAGCGAGAGCGGCCTGATTTCCGGCAAGAATGGACCGGCCATCAAGAGAAGAAACGCGGAGCTCGTCGCTTCAAACTAAATATCGGCTTGACGTGCGTTTATCGTGATGGACAACTCTGGAACGCCAGGCCGCCTTGTAAGGATGTCGAAGAGCGCTGACTTGGGAGCGACGAGGACGTGGCTTTCTGACGGTACGAGGCGAGGCCTTGGGCGACTGTTGGGAATGGAAAGGGAACAAGGACAGGGTCAAAGGCGAGATATCGTACGATCGAAGGAGCGTTCGAATACAAATAGACTTGGGAAACGACCAGCGCGTGGTTTTGGGTTCAACAGGCAGCCACAACGATGGTACAGGCAGACAATAGAGGACGGGGTCACGTAATGCAAACAAGGAGACCAGTGCAAATCATTGAAGCAAACTGACCAGCAGGCAAGGGGGATGAAAAGGGGCTCACAAGGGACCTGCTCAAAACGAAGCAATGAGGAGACGAAGTGCAGCTTAACGCAACGAAAGAACTTGAGGTCTGTGGCAGCTTTCACAATGTGAAGCCTTTCCCAAGCACTGAGGGATTTTATGATTAGGTACTCATCATTGACGTAGAGTGTTGCCGATGGTTCCTACTGTAGTGTTCAACAGGGACATCTCGTCAGGGAGATCACCATGAGGCTTTCCAAGAAATGGGCATCAGGAAGGTACCGTTGTTTGGGATCGAGGGCGGCGGTCGAAGCTAGGGGCGACGGTTCTGTGGAAGGGGCTGAATGCTCTTTCGAGCATCAGCCGAAGGGAAAGAGGACGAGGCAAGGAGGTCCACGGTTGGAATGTGGCTTTGTCGGATGCTGTGAATGGAAGGATTCGAAGCGCAGGGGTCATCGACTCGTGAGGATAGCATCGAGATGTTGCGGTCTGGAGGAGTCGCTGGGAGGAGATGGGGTCACAGATGAAAAGCGAAAATGTTTGATGTTTTGGGGAATGCTACGCTGATATCTCACAGTACGGAGTGTTTTCCTTTTGCTCAGTACCACCAAGCGGCCCTGGCTGTCCAATACGTTTCAGTAATATTGATTGCTCATCTCAAGGTACAGTCACAGTGGTCAGCTTGGGGTAGGACAAGGTACGTGGCGGTAGGGATCAGGTTCACTTGATTCCCCGCGCTGCGTCGTCGCAGCCTGATCCTTGATGAACCCCGCTCTCCTCCTTCTGGCATTTTCCATCATAGCATCATGAGAAGTATGGCACCGAGAGACGCGGGAATTTTCACTCCGCCGCTGCGATGAAGACCGGATGGATGAAAGGTGAGAAATGACAATCAAATGGCTGACACAGGGATAGGTACGACGCCGATGTCGATGACGTGCATGCTGACAACGAAGCTCCCGGATTGGAGAACAATGAGCAGCGTATTTGCCACCGAATTTCGCCCTTGAAGGCTGGATCTGCTCTCGATCGATAGTTCAGTTGTCGGACGACAGTCAAGAGTCTTGCGGGCGGAGAATCGACATCAAGCGAAATCTTGACCGCGACTACGACCGCGACCGCGATGACCATCGACAAGACACGCGTGAATCTACAAGCGAAGCGAACATTTTCCTCTCTCCAACCGAAACCCACCGCGACGAAGCTATCGCCAGTCCACCAGCCTGCACCGAGTTGCGAAGCACAACGAAGGTAACACCGTAACCGCAACACGAGCCCTTTCGAATACGAGCCGAAGTCGAACCGTACCTGAGAAATAAAATAAACATATTGCAGTGATGATGTTACGCAAGGATACGCAGTGACATGATCTCGGTGGCCAAGTTACATCGGCTGCCATCAAGACAAATGTGGCTCTCGCTTGACAACTCGCGTCCATCTGCCCTAACCCATCCAGGGTTCAGATGTCTCTTGCCATGTAACGCTACTCGTCAACAAGACACATCCATGCCACTTTAGTTCGGTGGGTTTGTTGCACGCTAGTTAGCGGATTCTCAGCCATCACGTGGAGCGAGATCTGGTTATGATCTTGACCACCAGGTAGCGAAATTTAATAGCCCTAAAGCACCAAAGGATTTAGAGAAGCTCAGGATAATTTATCAGAGTTTAGTATGATGTTTAGACAAGCTTAGGATAATTCTTTCACAGTTTAGGATGATGTTTAGAAGACTCTTTGACTAAACATTCCCTGCCCTCCCTGAATCCATCACCTCGAACAGGGGCCAAGATCTGCTGGTGCTTTGTCGGATCATCCTCCGGACCGCAAACACAAGTCTCGGCCCAGCGATACGCCCGCATCTGTTCCTCTTTAGTCACGCCGTCCTCCAGTTCCTCAGCAGGAACGCGTTTCTTCCGCGGGGCCCGGGTGGGCGTGACTGCTGCCCCGGTGGTCGCTGCGACGATGGGACTGAGGTGAATGAGCGCAACAAGCTTTTAGAGCCTATCATACACTCAGAACTCCGATATGTGACTCCAGTACAAGCGCTAGACCCAGCCTCAGGCCAGGCAAACGCTGCAGAAGTGAGAAGGATGACGTGACCGAGGCTGAAGCAACAGGCTCTCGCCTATCATATGGCACGCTCCCAGTCTGCCACTGGCAGTTCAAGTAGAACGTGACTATTGACGCGATTGTAGAATACCCCACACCCAGGATGCAGATGCTGGAGGAACGGCTAACGGCTACAAATACATCACAGGCTCCCTTTGCATCCACACATTAACACCTCCATCATCTTACTTAAATCCCTACCTCTTTTCATTTTGGCTTTCTTGTCAATACTTCGTTACTTCCCCCTCGCCATCATATTGAACACACTCCCACTTTCATCTCGACCATACCCCTTCCCTTTCCACCCGCCATCATTCACTTCGAAGCGAATGCTATTTGCATTTATTCCCTATATGTCTGAGACAGTCTGATCTTTCTCGAGCCTGATTACTACCAAGACTGTTTTTTTCTCAGAACAAAACAACCGAAAATGGAAGGGAACGTAGTCATCGACGACATTGCGACGAAGGCATACAGCCACGCGCATGCCGAGACGCCATACACGCAAACAAATACTCTGCGTATCATTTTGGAATTCTTTAGGATTCGCTACTAGGACTTTGCCGGTTCCCCAAAGAAAGCCCTGAAAGACGCCACGTACCTTGCATGTTTGGAACTCGTCAAACGCTATGGAGTCAAAAACCTCTCAGAAACCGGGGTCTGTACGGTTTTGGCCATTCGGGCCTGTACAGCCTTGCAGCAAGATTACCCTGGCAAATACGATTTCAAAATGTATGAAGTTGGGGAACATCGGATATGCCGGTGTGTGAAGACGGGGGTCATAATCGACTCCAGCAGTCACATCGGCGCTGTTGTAAAGCTTCCAGGGGATGAGTGGATATACAATGACAACACTTTTGTTTGGCAGGATGACGGGACTGGCACAGTGAAGATGCCAGATGGAGTAAGGAAATCGATGAATAGGGTTTGTGCATTTCTAATCTTTACTGCAGTATAAAGAAGACTTTCATTCGGTCTCTTTTGAAGAGGGCCTAGCCTACTGTTTCTCCCGATTCGCTGCCAACCCAGAAGTACTTACCCTATTTCGGTAAGCTTTCTCTCTTCTCCTGGAGTCAATGCGTGACATCAGGCTAATGTAATAACCTTTATCCTTAGTTTTACGAATAAGCACGGGAAACGCTACAAAGGGGGCTACATAAAGTGGGTCATCGACGAAAACTGCCCGCGTCCTAGAGAAAGTCCCTCCAAAACTTACCTCATGCTCAAGGACTGGAAGCGCGATCCAAGCCCTCAGCGCATTGTATGGCGAGAGGGTAGATCAGAATACCAGGATATAAAAGGCACGCCGGATACTAACACTCAGTGCTGGCTCGCGGTTGAAGCCTTTGTGAAGAAATGGGATGCTACGACACTATGGGGCATGGATCATTGTGACTTTGTTCATCGGCAGATCTGGGATAACTTGGTTGAGCATCATGGCTTTCCTGTGTTGAAACGGGGATACCTCCCCGACTCATGAAGGAGATATTTGGGATTCCAGGACAAAGACTCCCATATTCACCTCAACACCTTGGCTTTTCCCAAACCTAGGATTCGCTGAGCAGTCAGCCGGCAAGTCAAGTCCCAACGATATCGACGAAAACGAGTCGGGACTTATGGATATAGAGCTCTTAGGGAATAATAAGATAGAGGTCATTGCCTTGGAAAATTGCGCTACCTCCCTGCTGTGGACTAACAAACATCAAACCTTGGTAAAAGGTGTGAACGAAGAACTAGTCTAGGGTCTCGTAAATCTACACCAACTTCATTCAAGTCTCTCAGTTATTTATCATAGAAGTCCCCAGTCTTTTGGCCGTCCCTTTGCCCCTGACAGAAGACAACCTACAGTTAAGTCTTACTAGAACTTCCAAGAAGAGTAGAGTTGGACATGCACTTATCCACCCCCCACGCATTGCATCCATCCCGTCTGTCCTTTACTCCTAAACCCACCACTTCATGACTTTCCGCACGACTTTGTCAATGTATTGATAGAGTGTCAGATCCCACCGCTTCCTTGAGAACTCGCCACATCTAATTCTCTTCAGGCCAACATTTTTCTCAAAAGGCTACGAATTTAGACAAGCTGGTCCTGAGTGTACTGCCTCTTGCGATGAATCTGAATGTCTCACGAGCTTGGATGAGTAAGGTGCGTGATTTGAGTATCAGGCGCCAGGTCAATGAACTGAAAACAACACTCTCACTAGCATGCTTAATACCACAGTAAGTCATAAGGTAAATAGGTTTTCAGAAGACTGTGATGAATTTGATTACTTCATATTAGGGCTTGGCTTCTACTCCGAATGAAGTCGCCAAGACTGTCAAGTTAGTGGCCGTCTTCAGGCGAAATCTATTTGTTCTTCCTTATGTCATTTATCTTACCAATACTTTCTCGGTTCAAGAACAAATCCGGCCGTCGTTTCAACAAAGAGTAGGTCAAATGGCTCCTTGAACGAGGCGACAATGATGCGGATAGTGAACCTTCGTCACGATTTCTCTTCAGTGAACTTGAAGGCTATGTAATAGAGGGCAAAGAGAAGATCTAGAGAACTTTCTCTCACGAGGGCTGTCCTGAGACTCCAGTTTCTGTCCTTCAGAGGCTACTCATTATCTCGCTAGAATGGCCTCAAGTGTATGCTATCATGATCATGTAATCGATCCCTATTTATGGTTTCAGTTCAGGTGTTACCTTCGTGACCCCGTCCACTGTCCTCTCGTCCTTCATAAAGAAGCAATTCTCTGCCAGCAGTTGGTACAATGGTACTTTGATGTTGTTCTTCGTCAACGGTGGGTAAGCACAAAATCCTTCGATGAATGATAGGCGATTTCAGTAAATACATATTAAGTACTAAAGCTTGAATCAGCACAAAGGACTTAATGACTTAGTACAAATTTTGATGAACTCAAATATTTTTCTGCTTTGGTCAGATAGTAACAACCTTTTGGAAATGCATGTAATGGGGAAGAAAGCTTTTCTTGACTATCGTATACTAGGTCGACTGGACCCTCACGTCTTTCCACTTTGTCTTTCTCCCCACACCATTCAACAACCCTCGCATACTAACAGTACGGCGTACAGGTCATTTAAATCAACTTCTCCTTTGCCAGCTCGCAGTCTGTCTTTCCCGTAACTATTACAAGTTACACTTGGTCTTCAGGGCGTGCTTTGATTGACTCTTTCCATTTATGAAGCACTTCGTCTCTTCTGCGGTCATCGGCTTCATCACACTCCTCCATGATCCTATACGCTTCATACTCGGGACAGAGGTATACCGGGATGTCCTCTGTCAGCTGTTAGCACAATTCTAGTTTGAAGAAAGCGAACTCGTGAACTTACTGTATCCCGGAAACTCGGCATTGAACTCTTCCTCAGACATATTGAAGATCTTATCGTCTTCGGCCTCCCACTTCTTCAATGGCTCCTCTTGCTCTTCTTTAGTCTTAGGGGGTCCCATACCAGGGCGGAGGGGAAGTCCACTGCCATCACCGTAGCTGTGAGCATAGCGGGGTTGTTCGTCATTGCCCCCCTCCAGCAACTCTTCGGCATCTCCTTGAGCCAAATGGTCATCTTTCATAGCCTCTGATGACAGTCAGTATCATATTCCTTCAAAGATTTAACAGTGGCGAACTTACTGTCGGGATACTGAGCATAAAACTCCTCATCGGTCATGTTCCCGGGGCTTTCGCATTCAGCCTGCCACTTCTTGAATGAATCCCCTTGATCTTCTTCAATCATGTAGCCTCGCATACCAGGTCGGAGGGGAAGTCCACTGCCATCACCGTAACAGTGGGCATAGTGGGGCTTTTTCTCATCATTCTCCTTCAAAGATCCTTCTTTGAGACGTTCCTCATGGAGGCAATCATAGTATTCATCGCACAGCATTTCCTCGGTATCATCCTCCATCATGCAATGTCCTTCCTCTTCGGTCCAATCTTCATCGGATTCATCTGTAGGTGGTTAGGACAAAGTTTTCCAAGATTCTTGTAGGGATGGACTTACTGGGATGTGGAGATTGGGCATTAGATACCTCCTCTTTGTTATATCTATAACAATCTTTCGGGCCATCTGTGAACAGTTAGCAAGAAAAAGGTTCTGAGTTTCTTGACTTGTGGAACTGACTGTAATTAGGAAAGTGGGTATCGAATTCTTCGGATGACATGCGGCCATGGACCCAATCACGTAGAAGCAATATCTCTTTCGACGACAGATTTTTCTGCTCGTCGGTCACAGGGCCCATACCCGGTCGAAGCGGGAGACCACTACCATCGCCGCAGTTGTTAGCATAATGCTGAGTGTGGAGCTCATCGCTTTCCTTGGGCCCAAAGGATTCTTTTTCTTCCTGCGGCATCGCAAGCGCTTCTTTTGTGATCCTATACGATTCCTTAGGAGGCCCCCCTATAACCAATTAGCAAAAATAGTCACAAGGTTATTGACGCGTTGAACTTACAGTAATGAGGAAAATGGGCATCAAACTCTTCGGGAGACATGCGACCATAGATCCAATCACGTAGAAGCGACTTCTTTTCCCACCACTCAATGGAGTGTCCGTCTTCGTCTAGCCAATCCTTCAATAATGGGTGAAACGGGCCATCTTTATAGCGGTAGCGATAAGTAAAACGCCGTCCGTTTACTTCCTTAACGCGTTCCTGAGTCGCTTCAGTTTCAAGAGCCTTGGTTACTTGGCCCGTCATGCCAGGCTTCTCGACAGATTCCTTGGAGAGCATCTCCCCCGCTTCCTTAGAGGGCGTCTCGACAGACACGCCGGTCTTTTCACTGGCCTCAGGGCTCATAGTTTCTTCCTGCGGGAGACTGTCAAAAATGAGTTAGCAAAACACGTAACAGTAAATGGAGGCTATCGTGGCAGTGGTTGCAGCAGATGCCTCAGCCTAGGGCGCTGGCTCCAGCTGAATAAGATGTGAAGTGTGAAGACAGTGGAGGAAGGATCAACAGTCGACACGCGAGTGTCACAGATCAGCAGAGATGAGAAGCCTTGGTGGCGTGAGAAGGCAATGAGAAATCTGACACAAACTACCTCGGGGCTCAAGTGCAAGGGATGATGCAGAGCAAATGTCTTCTCCTCGTGACAGCGCGGGCGGCGAAGAGTTACTTGCTGTGTTTGGTAAGATTGATGCGTCGTGTCCGCAACTCAAGGATGAAAGGCCTGCACGATGCAAGGGGTGGCTGATGAAGAAGGATTACTGACGAAGGAAGTGTGTTGATGGAGTAAAAGTGGTGATGGAAGAAGAGGTTGGATGGAAGAAAAGGTTGAGGGAGAAACGCGAAATTTATAGGGACAGCGGGACTGTGCGTCTGCTGTAGCTGTGACTCCACCATCTGTCTGACAGTGGTTCAAGCTCGTAGTGCACAAGGCCGCTACGCGTAACCTACCACCACCAGGTTGCATATCCCCTATGTACTACATGCAACGTTGTTGCCACTGTTGCTACGTATGCTTAACGATAGCCGGCACTGGATAAGGCCCTTCATCCCGTGGTTTGCATCGAGATCAAGCTCGAGGTAGCCAGGGTGAGTAGTAAGAGTACACGGAGTTCCGACCTCCCTTGACGCAAGCTTTTGCCAAAGCTTTCACGGTAACGGTGAACTTAAGCGTCTCAGTTAGTTGAGGCATGGTGGTACAAGAAATGGCATGTGTGGAAGGCCAACAATTGTGGTTAAAGAATCCGTGGTTCACAGAAGGGCCAGCCCTGCCTCAATACACAGTCCATAGCTCCGAGGAGCAATACTCAAGATTTCGCCCATTTCCCAGCACCAGAGCGTTCCTCTTGTTCTTTTGGTACTCTAAGTGGCATTTATATCTAATGATATTATCCTAAGCTGATTTTCCATGCCTCCAAAGAGAGTTTTAAGCGTCCAACATTGGAAAACACCCGCTACTGTACCCGCTATTGTTTAGGGAGATGAATCACAAGATGGTACATATCAGTCAAACCTAGAGGATGCAAACTGACCCCAGCTCCTTCTGATTGTGACTCGCTTCATTCTCAAAAGCCCACTGTATCTCGCCAACCTCCAGTTTCCGCTCACCAACACTCCCATCAGGACCATTAACCTCCAGGTCTTGCGTAAATCCTTTTGGAGTCTTCAGGCTGCATTGCATGGACCTGCCAGCATCGAGTTACCTACCAGGCACCTCAGAGCTGTCTTTAGCAGTTGCCTAGACGCAGTGTGAGATCCATTGAACAGTCGCCCCACTCACCCTGGTTATGTCCACAGCTCGCAATGGATGCCCCGAACGTAGACATCACACCGAGGGCCAATGACTCATTGAGGCCGAACTATCCTACAGGTCACAATCACGTGCAGTCGAGGCTTGTGCTTGTCAATGGCAGTTATCAGGGCCCAGTGGTAATCACAGTTGCAGTTGCGGAAGGGAAGCGTTGCAGTGGCAGCAGCCCATCCGCAAGGGGGATCCACTTGAGACGAAGGACACAATTGGCGATGGGAATGCTGAAATACACGAA